AAAAAGCCTAGCCCACTAACCTAAATCCTTTAGAACCTCATTGCAAAAGGACTTCTTATTCTAGCAAAAGTATTAGTTATATAAAAACTTATTATTTTATTAAACCTAAACTATAATATTCTACTAGAGAAAGAAAACTATAAGTTAATAATATCGAGTTAAAGAAAAGCGTTCGATTCAATAATTACACTTATATAGTAATTTTTAATAATTATGATTTTGATAATAAATAATGAATAAAACAAAAGAATTAGGATATATAATAATAATAGTTTGATATAACTGTTTCAGGAAATAGGAGATTTTATATTATTTATTACACTATACATTTGTTTAAGAATAAACAAGATTTGAAGGGAAGGGTACTATTATAGGTTCATTATTTGTTTCTAGCTAGCTTGGATGAATGCCTTAGGTATCTATCCACCATATAGTCGTCGTCGCTCTGCGCGCCTCCTTCTCTCCTCGTCGAATATCATACATCTTACCTAGTACCTACCAGAACCTGTACCAGCCCCGTGATAGGAACTGAGGTGCCCTGAAAAACGATTTGGAGAGTGTAGCGAGGCGAATTGTTTTTCCGGCACCGAGGGGCCGAAGTCAAAGCTCGTCTTACATACGATGAAAAGATGGAAAGAGAAATAGGAATGGGATTGGAAAGTATCAAATGATTGTCTGGCTGGCTGGTAAATATCCTTCTATATACTCGAGTATATAACTAGCATGTATGCATGTATGAAACCCCCACCCCCGCCCCTCCCCCAAAAACGCAGCTGAAATAGAAGAAAGGGATCTGGAGAGAAAAGAATACATAGCGAGTTCATTGAGATTTGGGAGAAATTGAAATCGAAATGAAATTGAAATGAAATGAGAAGGATACGTAGGATAGGTAAGATTAGTCAGGACAGGCACATGGAGCCGGTGAGTGTCAATCATACTATATACATATTATTTATGTATAGTAGTTAGCTAATGAGGGATCATAGGGTCATGGGAATGGTATGACTTATAATGCAAAATGCGTCGGCCAAAGGCTTTTATGATGTACGAGTAGAGAAAAAGGAAAGTTTGGGGATAAGGGATGGGAGGGAGGTAGATAGAAGGAAGGAGTGGTGGATGATGTGCGAGAAGAAGGAGAAGAACGCAGGATGGAGAACGAAATTGTAATACAATGAATGGAATGTCTCGACGTATTAATTTGATTCAAGTATCCCGTAGAAGGATATCCTCAATCATAGAGACGTAAATCCACCAAGAGCATCATCAAGAAACGGCAAGGAGTGTGTATGCGCGATCAATTCATACAATACTTGATACAACGCATTAACTAGACTAAAGTATTGAGTATCCCTCCTTGAATCCATGTTCCTTAAGGTTTGAATTCTTTCCCCCGTATCCTCAATCATTCATACAACATTGAATTCATACCTACATAATAACCATGTTGCTTGTCCATCCATCCATCCCTTCCCATAACAAATGCCAATCATTAACGCCCTAATAACCCCAGATCCAAAGCACCATAGCGTAAGCTGTACTCATCTCTCATAAACTATTCTGTTCTAACCACTGCACATCATACATTCCTCTTTGTTATCAATGCTACCTGTATGATTTATTAGTATGTGCATCCTGAAGCGAGAGGACAGCAAACTTACATTGCAATTTGGCATCAGCATAAATGTCAAACTCTCGATCGGTACTATCCTTGCCTTCATCCTCATCCTGCTTCTTCTTCTCAACACTTGGTTCGAGTAATTCTTCCTCCTTAGGAACTGCCTCGGTAGGTTCAGTGGCGAGCGCCTTGGGGCTGTCACCTTCCTCTACATCGGCCTTGAAAGGTGTCTTAGCAACTGGTGTATGTTGCTCCTTGGTTGCTGCAGGAGGTGGAGTAATGCTTGGTGTTGGTATATCCTTTGGTGTACTAATGGACGATGTTGATGATTTACCTGCATACATAGGTTTTGGGCCGCCACCACTGGTTGATGACGCACTCGAGATATAACCCGAAGATGGCAAAGTGCGCTTCTTCTGAGTACGTTCGCGAGCGACATTAGTATCAGCTACAAGCAGAGCCTCTTGATCAACAGTGAATTGAATGGGTGCCGAAGCAGCCATGGTACGGAGATAGTACATTCCGGTCTTCAAGCCTAATTTCCAACCAGCAAAATGCATAGATGTGATTTTGCCCATTGTAGGATCCTTCATGTGAATGTTCATTGATTGAGATTGATCAATAAACGCACCACGATCAGCAGCCATCTGAACAATTGTTCGTTGAGAAATTTCCCAAACGGTTTTGTAAAGGGCCTTGATGTCAGCTGGAATATTGGGGATGTTTTGGATAGATCCACCATCAGCAATAATACGATTCTTCATGTTGTCAGACCAGAGTCCCATATCGACGAGGTCTTTAAGAAGCCATGGGTTGACAACTTGGAATTCTCCAGCAAGAACACGACGGGAGTAGATGTTTGATGTGTAAGGTTCGAAACATTCGTTAAAGCCAAGGATTTGGGATGTGCTAGCAGTAGGCATAGGCGCAACGAGTAGAGAGTTGCGGATCCCGTGTTGCTTGATGGATTGCTTCAAAGAGTCCCAATCCCACAAATCAGTGGGTGTGACACCCCACATATCGTATTGAAGTTCACCCTTAGAGACTGGGGAGCCTTGATAGGTTTCGTATGGGCCAAGTTCCTTTGCAATCTCGACCGATGAGGTCAAGGCGGCGTGGTAGATGGTCTCGAAGATTTGAGTGTTGAGGTGTTTGGCTTCTGGGGAATCGAATGGAAGACGAAGAGCCAAGAAAGCATCAGCGAGACCTTGAACACCGACAGCGATAGGTCGGTGACGGAAATTGCTCTTTCTGGCTTCTGGGACTGGATAGTAATTGATGTCAATGATCTTGTTCAAGTTTCTGACAACAACTTGGACGACCTCGTGAAGCTTTTGGAAATCATAGATTCCCTCATTCATGTTGACGAAAGTTGGCAAAGCGATAGAAGCCAAGTTACAGCAGGCGACCTCATCTGGTGCAGAGTACTCGACGATTTCTGTGCATAAGTTGGAGCTGCGAATAGTACCAAGGTTCTTTTGGTTGCTCTTCTTGTTGCATGCATCTTTGTAGAGCATGAAAGGATTTCCCGTCTCGGTCTGAGCCTCGAGAATAGAGTACCAAAGCTTTTGAGCCTTGATAGTCTTGCGACCCTTGCCCGCCTTCTCGTAACTCTCGTAGAGAGCCTCAAACTCATCCCCATAAACATCTGCCAAACCTGGACATTCGTTGGGGCACATAAGAGTCCATTCTCCATTCTTTTCAACACGCTTCATGAATAGATCAGGAATCCACAAGGCGTAGAAGAGATCGCGTGCACGAACTTCTTCCTTACCATGATTCTTACGTAAATCAAGGAACTCAAAAACATCCGCATGCCATGGCTCAAGGTAGACAGCAAAAGCACCAGGACGCTTGTTACCACCTTGGTCAACATATCTGGCTGTGTTGTTGAAAACTCGGAGCATAGGAACAATACCGTTAGAGTTTCCGTTGGTACCGGCAATGTATGCACCAGTAGCACGGATTCTATGAATGTTGAGACCAATACCACCGGCATTCTTTGAGATCATAGCACAGATCTTCAAAGTGTCGTAAATGCCATCAATACTATCCGCCTTCATGTCGATGAGGAAGCATGATGAAAGTTGTGCCTGTGGAGTACCCGCGGAGAAAAGTGTTGGAGAAGCATGTGTAAAATACTTATTTGACATCAGGTTGTATGTTTCGATAGCACTCTCAATATCATCACCGTGAATACCAACGGCAACACGCATAATCATCTGTTGTGGACGTTCTGCAACTTTGCCATCAAGGCGGAGAAGATATGATCGCTCGAGGGTCTTGAACCCAAAGTATTGGTAGTTAAAATCTCGGTCATAGACAATAGCAGAATTAAGTTCCTCCTCGTGTCTCATAACACAGTCGAAAGTTTCCTTGCTAATCATGGGAGATGCCGTGCCATTTTTTGGGTTTGTGTATTGGTGTAAATCGCGAATGACGTGCGAGAATTGTTTCTTGGTTTGTTTGTGGAGGTTGGAGACTGCAATACGAGCAGCTAGAATGGCATAATCGGGATGGGTGACGGTCATATATGCAGCAGTCTCTGCGGCCTTGACAAGGGGTTAGCAGGATATTATGAAGAGAGGAGTAGGCCTCAACGCGTTGTGAGGGCGGGACTTACAAGGTTATCAAGTTCAATGGTTGTTACACCTTGGTAGACACCAGAAATGACTTTTTGAGTGATGGCAGCAGCATCTATGTGATCAGGATCGAGGGCATAACACAGTCTCGATACACGAGCTGTGATTTTATCGAATTGAACGCGCTCCTTACGTCCATCTAAATATGATGAGTACAGGAAGAAAGGAGGAGTTTAGACTGATCTACATACCTCTCTTATAAACATACATAGTAGCGGTATCGTTTGTTGATTTTGTTTGGATTTGGAGGGTTTGAAAGGAATCGGATGGAGAAGATAAAAGACGTGTGGAAAGCAAACCACTTCAAAATTAGAAACAATTGATATTCTTGAGTACAGTCAAGTATTCAATCATACAACCTTTAAAATAGAAAGGGAGATACGTATTGTAGGTTGAAAATCTGGAGGATATTGTTCTTGAGAGGAAAAACAAAGAAGAGTTTATGAGGGACGGGATCTGAATGTTTTTAAGAACACTTTACGCGACTTTCATACTCCGCAAGGACGCGTCGAAAATAAATATTAATTGGTAACTAGCGTGCACAAGCGTCTTTTTTTTTGTACAAGGGAACCTTTTAGCTTTTTGAAATGTTATATGTTATATGTTATATGTTACTATAGATATGAAGATGGGGAAAGAGGAAAGAGGAAAGAGGAAAGAGGAAGAAAGATTACTACAGTACTATACGAAGTACCAGTATTTGATTTATTATTATTCTTCTTCTTCTTCACAGATAGTCTTCTTCACAGATAGTCTTCTTCACAGATAGTCTTCTTCACAGATAGTCTTCTTCACAGATAGTCTTCTTCTATTGTTGAAAAAATATCTAACCGTAGGCCTAGCAACACTAATACACATCCCTCCCATCCCCTCATCCCCCCGTCGATGATTAGACTCGTCTCAAAGTTGTTACTTACTTGCCCGCACCCAATGTTCCACTCCTTTTGACGGCTAAAAAGGGCTACATTTCGGCCCTTAATAATACAGAGACAAGTCCGACATCGCATGTTCCATTCCTTTCTGACTCTTACGCTGATCGTTATTCATCTCTCACAGGGTATATCAATCATCTACTCTAGATCGTTACTGCCTACTTGTCCATAGCAACCACACTACCGTATCTCTTCATTTCTCCTTCCTACCTGCATATCTAACAGGTTGACCACCTTTACATGGCACTACAGGTTTTCTAATTGGCATAAAAATGTCCAACACTTTAGCTTGTCCATAAGCCATCAAGGAGGAAGATGTCCAATACACCAACATTGCACTCGGTATCTGCAATGTAAGTGGAATAATTGCAAGAGCCACTACCTTCAATGAGTTCGATAATCTCCTCATGAATACACTTTTTGGACGCCCCATGCTAGAAAGATTCAAAAGGATAGACCCAGAAAGCATGAAAGGAAGCATCAACATTGGATCCGGAATGAGGAGATTAGGAAACCATAATGCTCCTTCTGTCGCGAAGGTTGGTTCTAATAGTAACGAGCCCAAATCCAGGTCAGCGGCGGCCGCAGACTCATTTGCATTACTAGATGTGAATAGAGATTCAATCCATTTCAATATCCCATCGTGTGCACCGCACATTTTTCGAATCGTCTCTACGGCGACCATCCAAACAGGTAGTTGCACCAACGACAGATATTGCTTCCAAGTTCCACAACTGAATTTAGAGTAGAGTTCATTCTTCTTCTTTCGCATTTTGTCTTTAACAAATTGATTTGCAGCATCCGACCCCAAATGACCAACCTCCTGTATTGATTGTTTTCTAAATTGATGTTGCCATGCGTTCATGAGGGGCATTAGATCGATTTGTTTCTGCGCAGCTCGTCTTGCTTGGATACCAATTGGGAGGATGAGAGTGACCCGAATAGCCAAAGCTGTGAGAGGTATAGCATAAGCCCATTTTAGGCCAGTAACAGAGTGCAATCCTTCCAAAACCCCATGTGTAGCTATTAATACGGAATCGAGAGACCGAGGTCGTGGGGAGGCATGAAATGATCGAAAGCTTGGAGGAAGTTGTAAGAAGACTCTTGGAATCTTTGGGCTTGTAGACGGGCGCGAGCGCAGTATTGGTTTACTTGACCGAGATAGTGTAGACATTGTGATTTGAGTTCTGAGGTCGTTCAATAAAATGAGACAATCAAGTCTCGCGCAACGATCAATCAAAAGGTCCGCATCTTGGTAGAAGCGGCCGCACGCTCCACCTCCACCCCGCCTGCGCGCGCGTCACAGCTAAAAGTCTAAAAGTGACACAGTAAGCAGTAATCAGTGAACCCTGGAAACCCTCACTTCCCCTCTCTTCTTCTCTTCTATACTTTCCAAACCTCTCAAAAAGGTTATGGCGGAATCATGCAAAGCATCGGACGGTAGCGATATGTGGACATTTGGGCTGGATACTAAATGGACTATTCTATTAGCTTTTGTTCTTGGTGCGACGCCTTTGATTGTTCTTTTGGGAGGGCCTAAGCTTATAGGATATGTCGGACACACAGTTGGGTTTTATTTGAGGCAAAAGACAGCTGGGAGGAAAGCTCAAGTATTGGAAAGGGTAGAGATTGATGAGAAGAATTATAGGGAGAATCAGGAAAAGAGTCGGGATGGAGATGATTGGGAGAATGTGGAATCTTATGCGGCCGGGACGGCCAATAATGGACAGAAGGCGGATAAGGAATGGGATGGCATTGTTGGATTCTTCCACCCCTTTTGGTATACAGAGACCTCTTCGCTGGAATCTATGTGGGCTTGGCTAATAGTATTTTAGTAATGCAGGAGGTGGTGGTGAACGTGTTCTATGGGCTGCGATTTTAGCAACTCAAAATCGATGGCCCAATGCGAAATGCATTGTTTACACCGGAGATCATGATGTAGATAAGTCGCAGATTATTGCTAGAGTAAAGGTAGGGATAGGATGCTATTATCATAAAATGCGCCGACTAATCAAGGCAATTAGGATCGTTTCAACATCCAACTCCATCCTCCAACGATCACCTTCCTATACCTAACAACTCGGCATTGGGTTTTGGCTTCAACATGGCCTCATTTCACTCTTCTAGGTCAATCAATCGGATCTCTGATACTTGCATGGGACGCATTCTCTCTCGTTGTACCGGACGTATTTGTGGATACAATGGGTTATGCGTTCGCACTTGGATTCTGCAAGATTTTGTTTCCGGAAGTACCCACCGGAGCATACGTACATTATCCCACCATATCGACGGATATGCTGGGTTCTCTTGACCCTACATCCACCACGGGGAAACAAGGAGTAAATGCCGGAAAGGGTGGAGGTTTGAGAGGCAAAGCTAAGAAGCTTTATTGGAATATGTTTGCAAAATTATATATTTGGGTTGGGGCATCAATTGATGTAGTCCTCACAAACTCCAATTGGACACTCGATCACATTACATCACTCTGGGGAGAATGGCGACGGGACCTAAAGAAGTCCATCGCAACAGCAGTCTTTCCTCCGGTAGCCGTCGAAGAACTCGAAGAGAAGATTTCCGTAACCTCTGAATCCGAATCAATACGCCAACCAGCCCTTCTTTACATCGCACAATTTCGTCCAGAAAAGAACCACCAACTTATTCTCAACGCTTTTGCCGCCTTCAAATCTACTAAATCTCCCGCAACCAAAAACGCAAAGCTTATTCTTATTGGCAGTGTTCGCGATGACTCTGATTCAAAACGTGTATATAAATTACGGTTATTAGCAAATGAACTACAAATCAAGGATGATGTAGAATTTATCTTGGATGCACCATGGCCAAAAATCTTGGAGTGGTTAGGCAAAGCTAGTGTTGGGGTTAACGGGATGTGGAATGAACATTTTGGAATTGGAGTCGTGGAGTACCAGGCGGCAGGATTGATCAGTGTTGTTCATGATAGTGGTGGACCAAAAAGGGATATTGTCACTGAAGTTGATGGCTTACCTACTGGTTCGTTCACTCCATTTTTACACCCCTTTTTATATCACCCCTTTTTCATTTCGCTTGTTTGTAATAACAACTAACCTCAAAACCCAGGCTTCCACGCATCAACAACAAAACAATTCGCTCAAGGCTTCGAGAGCGCATTGTCCCTTCCACGAAATGATAAGATAGCAATGAGACTAAGAGCGCGAAAGTCGGCACAGAGATTTACAGAGGCGGAGTTTGCGAAGAAATGGATTGTGGGTATGGAGGAGCTCGTATTGCTAAGGAGGAAATGGGAAGGAATTAGAAGTAGCCAATAAGGAGCTTGATAAAACTTGGTTCATATAGGCTGGGTGTTTAGATAGACGGGGGAGGTGAATTGATAGAGTAAATATGCAGATGTATCGCGAACACCCAATATATAGCGAGCTATTTACATTGTATTTCAAGCGTTACCCAAACTTTACTTACTTGATGATCAGGATTTGAATGGTTATATTGTTGATTAAAAGTAATCGAGATTAAATAAATATGTTTCTTCGAATGTGTTCTATACACACACCGATCTGGTATCATGCGATGCCATCTTTCTAGGAAAGTCTAGAAAATGCACTACTGAGCTGTTCGACCAACTCTACCTATATCCTTCCCAGATACCCAAAATTCTACCTGCGTCCCTGCAAATTCTAAATGGTCTTCGTTCTAGCTCCCACAAGCGTCGTGATATCAATTCCAAACCAGGTCATTAGTCGTGAAAGGGTTTTCTTACAATTTAACCGCGCGGCGCGCGCTTTCGTCCCTCCGTTAGACATTTAAATACCAACCCCACCACTACCCTTCTGCCTTGGCTCTCCCACCGCCTCCAACCATCCTCCCCCTCTCAACTCTTTCCCTTCCATCGATAGATCACCCCAGGCCCTGATGCCCTGTACAGCACTCTCCCTTCCACTCGCCCACGCGACGTTATGTCCTCGCTTTCTTAGCGCTTCCTGTAACTCTTCACTAAATCCTGGTTCTACGGTTGTTCTTTCCGGTAGTAATTGATCGTGCATGCGAGGTTGTTTCAATGCTTCTTCGAGCGACATGCCATGATCGATTATGTTGATAATGGCTTGTATGGTTGAGGTAGGGATTCGCGAACCGCCGGCTGCACCGATGGAGAGAAAATGTGATCCGTTGGGATGAGAGATGTGGATGGGGGAGATGGAACTAATAGGTCGAGCACTTAAAATATTGGGTGGTTAGTCATTAGTAGATAAGGTACGCAAAGAAATGACGCAATCGGGGAATATCGACTCACCCGGGACGAATATAGTTCATAGGGGAGGGGGTGAAACCGAAGTAGTTAGGGACGTTAGGGATCGAGAAATCGTCCATTTCGTTATTGAGGATTACTCCTATGAGATTGTCAGATAAAATCCGAGGTAATCTAACCTGGATCGAAACGGGTGTGAAGAAACACGTATGAACTTTGCAGTTCATAAAACTGGAAAGGAGAGGAGAATTTTTGCAAGATAACATACCAGTCTCGGGAACCATAACAGCGGAACCAAAAAGTAGATTAACGGTAGAGGTTGAAGTAATTGAAAGACCGGAGGCATCCGTAGTAACCATATGCGACGTCCCATGATCATCCTGAATATCCCACATGTCCGGATTGTACTTTCTAATATCCTGTGTCTTATTGTCCATGATCTTTCCTCTCGTTGCATTTGCAGTTTCGGCTGAAATGATAATCGCTTCGAATCTTTCCATCTCGGGAAAAATTAACGGATCTCCTAGCTCGGAATGCGCCGCATATGAAAAGCGCATGGATTCGTCGAGTCGATGTGTGTTCAGAAGTAGATCGGATAGCGTAGACATGTCGTATCCCTCCATAGTCTTGAGAATGCTGAGGGCGATAGAACCACCGGAAGGAGTTCCGGTTGAATGGAGAGTGTAGTCGCGATAAGTTATGTTGATGGGATTACGAATCTTTACTTCGTAATCTTGAAGGTCGGCAAGAGTCATGGTTCCGTTTGAAGCTTGAATAGCTGCAATGGTTGCATTCGCCATTTCTCCTTCGTAAAATACTGATGCTCCTTTATCGGCAATCGTGTCTAATGTGTTGGCAAGTCTTTTTCTCGTCATGACATCGCCGACTTTAAGAAGGGTTCCATTCGGAGCAAAATCTATAGCCCAGTTTGGATCCTCCAGAAGAAAATTCCACCCAACTTGATTGTAAACTGCATTCATATAGTAAACTGTATCTTGCGTCACTGGTTATGATTAGCGATGCCGACACAGACCTTGGCCGAACTACGTACCGGGAAATCCATATCTAGCAACATGTGCAGCGGGATTACAAACAGCTCGCCAAGGTAGTTGCTTGTGGATGTCAGCGAAGTCATCTCAAAATGAGAGTCCACATACTCCATATTTATTGTGAAGATACTCAAGTCCTCGTAGATCACCGGGAACAGCAACGGCATTTCCACCGACGATTGCCCCTCTAGGATTGTCTTTATACATGTCCTGATATGCAGCGGCTGGAGCTGTCTCTCTATAGTCTGTTTAAATATGAGCTAGGTGAAAGCAAGATGGCCCAATCTCCCGTGAATCTTACCTATGGTTTCGTACTCTCCATCTGGGCTACGCACAAGCATAAAACCACCTCCACCTATACCACTATGATACATTCCTGAAATCTTGTAAGTCTACTACTGGCAGCCGATTCGGAAGTGAGGAACTGGTTACCGATGACTCCAACGCAGAGGGTCGTGCCAACCATCGCATCCGCTGCATTACCCTGCACTATGTGATCAGTCTCAAATCAATCACTGATAGGAAGTTACTTACACCTCTCTTTATGAGTTCCGCACCTATCTCACTACATATCTTGCTCTCACACGCCACTGCTCCACGATTGCCAGTGTTTGTCACAGTAGAAGAGTTCATACCATGTAATACCCAAAGCATGAGGACCCAGCAGAGCCGGCCTAAGTTTATCCCGCTCATGTTGAATGAATCTGAGACTGCTTGTATTAGCATAAGGTCCATTTACCTCATTTCGGAGGGTCTGCATACTAAGTTGATCTATATTACTCCAAGTAATTTATGTTCTTAACCCTTTGGGATGAGACAAACAATAGCAAAGATAAGACCGATAGTTTCTTCACAACGCCATCGAACTTTATGAAGGGAATGGGGTCCGGGCTTGTTGAGGGTTTCTTCTTTTAATATTATTAAAAATCTCATAAACTGATATAAAAGTGATTTACAGGCTTGTGTGTTATCAAATGATAAAGGAGTGAACTTCGACATGATTGCGAAGTTTTGCTTTATCTCAGTCATGACGGAGCTATTGCTAGCGTCGGACCAGTCAGACAAAGTTAAAAGCTTCAATATCATAATCATAATCCACTCTTGCAACATAATTATTATGGAGCCTGACCAAAAGTCAAAGACAGATAGCGGTTATCGCGTAAGATAGCGCTTGTGATTAGGTTTAAGATCCTTGATTGGTCAAGTGTCAAGTGTCAATATCCAATACCGGTATAAGGTTAATCATGTGATCACGTGTCGCAACTTTATATCTTATCTCATCAAGAGTTTATTTGAAGTGAGGACTCCTCCTGACACCTTCAATCCTACCTACCCTATCTTACCTACCATACCTCACCGTCGTACATATTATCACCGCCACCGAAAAGGAATACTACACTCACCCATTTACTCTTGATATCAAGAACCCATAGATTTTCAACAAGGAATATGAAACATTGGGCAAGCCTAGAAAGGCATTCCCTTAGGCTGAAAGCCTTTCAATCAGAAACCGTGTCACTTGCCAGCAGTCAGATTAAGTTCAGCACATCCACATCATCTTTCACATCATCTTTCTGCCCGTCATAATATCTTGGCATAAGCAGGACTACGGACCGACTACCTATCAAATGGATATATATTATGAACTAGAGTTTGAGATTCTCGACCTCGAGTAGGACAAAATGTTTCAGGCGGCTTCTACAGCACATCACCCATGATCACTGACATCCACGAGTAGAACTCATACAGCAAAAGAGCACAAGACTGCTGGCATGCCTAGATAAGGCTGGAAATTGTTGTATGGTTGAAACATGGAACAACATGTTCCCTGAGAATGCCACACTTTCGAGAACACAACATTCGAGTCTGCATGTAAGGGGCATGATAAGCTGAGTAACCTGACTTTCAGCCTACAACGTCATGCAATCGCACAAAGAAGTCCAAGCCAACAATAGCAACCCTCCGATAACGGCTTTGTCGCTGATGCTTATTCAACCACTAGTGTCACGAGACTTAGGTAGTACTAGGAAGCTAGTTGGAAAAATCTCGCAAGAAATGCCTTGGATAGCAAGGGGTAGTTGTGAGCTTCCAATTTGGGAAGTTTAAGTGTCGAAGAGAGGGCTGGCGATTTGCGAAACGCTCGCTGGTTTGCTAGAAATATTAGTTGAGAAGGTAAGAGTGAACGGCAAGAAGACTTACCCCAAATGGCTCTCGCAGCGCTTCGAGGAGTAAAGAAGGAAAGAAGATGGAGAGAATAGGTAGGATAAATCATAGTTGGCTAGGTTCGGTGACATCCGGTTAGGTCTAAGCCCTCTCTTGCTCTTTTGATACTTGATAGTATGCCAAGTGATTGAAGAAATTCAAACAGTTTATGCGCAGGCCCTCAGTATCACATCAGGTGCTCGTTTTATAGCACATAGTTGATTGCTCTTTTGCTTTCACTTGACCCATTTCCCCAGTTATTAGTTTGGTGACATATGCCACATCTTCAAGCTTTATAGTTCTATTTGATTCGAATGATGTCTAGAACATTTGTGTTTGCTTTGACTCTTTGCTTCTCCGTTCTGATAATTGTTTTCGGATAAATGCAGGATTGCCGAAATTGGAGGAATGGAGTGACCCCACCTTTTGTACAGCTCGCTTATGTTTGCAACAGTTATATTCACTTCACCTACCTTGGGTGAATTTTCAAAACAGTTTTGTATTTTGCAACAAAACATCTATGGCAAAGTGCAGAAGCTGGCCATACCTGCCTGTCATTGTTTGAAGCTCATCGGATTTCCTATTAGGTTGGTGCATGTGATTGTCTGTTTCCATGCAAGTTAGTAACACAGTTTGTAGTTAAGTAACAGAAAAAGTATATCACAAAGAAATAATCCTTTCTTGTCATTTATTGCTCTGAAATTCTGCATTGCACACTTATGTATCTTGTCTGTACAAAAAATCTTTCGAGTTATAAATCTCTGGAAATATAGCATAGAATTGGCAATCATGGAAAAGCTTGGAATAATCCAAATATTCAAGTGCTATATAAACCCTTTGAGAACTCCATCCCTTCTAATTCACAGTGTGGAAACATATCGAACTGCGACCTCAGAGTCCCACCAGTAGTCTTACTAGAGGGAAATGATTCACCTCTTTGGTGGGCTATTCCAGCCGAATAATTCATGGCGTGAAGGAAAGCTAGACGATGAATGGCTGATTTTAATCTACCTACCTCCGTGCACTTGGAATAACGTTTACGAGAAAGTTTTAGTGTCGGTTAGATATTAGAGGCTTCGAGAAAGTAATCTTGAGGAGGAAGCTCTGAGACTTTTCAGAATCTTTCCTACCAACAACTACCACCCTCTTCCACTTCTCAACTTGCTTTTTAGATTTCCCAATCTCAAGCTCTTTTCAAAAACACTTGTACACTTGAGAAAAGTACTCTAATTCAGAAAGTTGAAACCCCTTTCAAGAAACCACTGTACTTTTGAGATAAAATTACCACTACCCTTTCATTTGATTACTGTACTAGTACCATAATCCCTCATTTCTTTCATTGATATACTCCCAAGCACAACGTAAGAACTATCAGCAAGATGTCTTATAATCACAACGCAGCAGACAACACCTTCTGGTACCCTCGCCCCTCCGCTGCTAGCCTGAATAGCAATAGCACAGCTGGTAAGATTCAAACTATGGCTTACTCTCTTCAACTTTACCTTGTACGGCTACTAAACGTATATAGAAGGATCGCAGACTACCGCGAGCACTCTTGCGACTCCTGTAGATCCTCAAGAAGACTGGCCCATTCGCAATAGCCAGGATGTGGAAAGTCCACTCGAATTCTACAACCCGAATTTAGACCAATTGCCAAACCCTCTCTCTGCCCCATTCCCAATGCCATTTACTTCTAGTATCACCAATCCAAATGGCAACACCTTTGGCACAGAAGGATACGGAGCTTTCCCGAACATGGAAGACCAGAGAATGGATACACGCCTTAGTCAGGATGGCTTTTCGCCCTTCGGCAATGCAGTCTGGGGAAACAGGCCTGATAACGTTGCTGGCGGTGGCGACTCGTTCGATCTACAGCACTTCATCGAAAGATATGGTCTTAATTCCACTATGACTCGCTTCGATACGCCAACCCCTTTGGCACACCCGGCAGATAATCAGAATTTATCTGAGAAGAGTGGTGCACCTACAGCTGCAAAACCATCAAATGATGTCGGCATATCTTCTTCCAATTCTTCGGCTCAATTTACAAGCGGTGCCCAAGATGCGGAAGCTCCACGACAAGATTCGTCGGAACAAAGTGGACAGTACCAAGCCAATACTTTTGACGAAGGCCTCCCACCCACTATGGATGCCTCTCAACAATCCGATAGACTAGACACCCCACCAAAGGTTACCAATGCTGGTCTTGGAGGTCCGGGAACTGTGAGACAGTCAGGTCCGCTTCGACTTCTTGCACCTGTGCCGTCAACCGCCATATCAGAACAGCGCATGCCGCAGAGCCAACGTCCACCCAAAAGGCGAGGCACACGATCTCAGAGCAGTTCTTCCCAACTGAGCAACCCACGGATCTCCTTTGAATCCTTGGTTCCAAATAGGTTAAGCCCTGCAACCGCTGCCTTCGCCAATGTCGCTCCCGCAACACAATTCATGGAGTCACTTTCCAGTGTGCACCTCCTAGATAGCATAGCGTGTGTCGATCTCTTGATGCGTTCTGAACTTGTCAAGGACTACCTCAAGCCTCACCTTTCCGCCAAGTACAAGGAAGGTCTTGCGAATGGCGCAAGGCTTGCGGCAAGAAGTCGTCTCGGTATGGATGACAAGATCAACGAGATGAGCAGAAAGTATGAGGATCAGAATGTGCAGCGGAAAATTGTGTTCCAGGACAAGAATATCAAGAATGAGCGACGCAAGAGGGAACGTGCCGCTGGTGTGAATGGTAGTGGCATGATGACTGATGCTTCTGAAACTGGCGAAATGACACCCAGTGGTAGCAAACGTCGCCACCAAAAATCTGGTCCTGATAATAGCTCGTTCGATGTTGACAGTGATTCATTCACCCCTCCTCGAACTTCACCAAAGAAGCCTCGACTCCCCAAAATGACGCCTTCAGATCTCGTCAATAAATTCTGCTGCGAGGTGAACATCGAAAATCGGAATCCATTCTTCGATGACCCTATCCACACTCAGCTGCGTAGTCTCAGCCTTGTCCGTCTTATCGACCCTGCACAAGAGTATACTGCACTCAATGGCGAGATCTCTGACACTAATGTAGAGCATTGGCGTGCTTGTGCGGGACAGGCTGCTGGTCAAGTGATGGACAATGAACAAACTTGCAGGCAGTGTGCTGATCATATCGGAGATGGCACTGTGCCCTTTGCAAGCTGTGTCATTATTGACGACGCTCGATCAGCTGGAAGAGAACTCCAAGGTGCATGTATGAACTGCGTATACCTTGGAAAGGATCGAGAATGCAGTCTTCGGCGTGTTTAGGACGAGGGTTAGGGGTCTTGATGATTTGAGGCCTGAGAAGCCGGGGCAACCGGATGCGCTTATTGCAGCTTTGTGGAAGTGCGAGGCTCTGCTATATTCACTTTCACTATCGGAATCATTTTGATTGGTGTTAGGTTTAAGGATCTGGTTCGCATATGGAGACTTCAAATCTCGAAATCATTACGGCTGGGAGAAAGAAGATGATTTCTTCAGCGACGCCGCTTGTAGGAGCTGGATACGAGGGATGATGGTCCATCCTGCCATTTACAAACATGGGACAAGTTTAGCGTTCGACCAGTGAGATACCGCGGCCGTTTGTTTTACCGTCTTCTTGTTTCGGAGCTACCAAAGATTCGACAGGACAGGATTTCAACGACATCGAGTGTGTAAGGAGGACAACGTAGGGCTATATGTTCGAATTTCCATCTTCTGATGAGTACTGACTCGGGAAAGATGATCATTACTTACTGATTTTATGATGTGAAAACTATATCTCTGAGATATTGGCCTTTTTATCTTAATGAATCCATTAAATAAATGAATATGTGCAAGTGAAAATGCTTGAAAACTGCTCTGTGAAGTTGAACATGCGCTTGCTAACCAACTGTAGAATCGACAACGGAGTTCAGTAGGTATTAAGACGGCATGATGTCGAAATCAAGGTCTTGTAGGTAAAATAAACCAGCTTCGAGTCTTCGCGGCGTTCGAGTGACTCTGGAACACCCTTTCTTCGATCCAAATTCCCAGATTTTCCTTCTACACTGTGAGAATAATTTGCAAAAGTGAGAGGAGATCAACCTTGTCGCGAATTGGAAAGGCCTTTGCCTTTGACTTCGTAGTATGGGCTTTTTCACTTTGTTGTCACTTTCATCTGCCGTTGTACCCTGCCTTCCTCTCCTATTATTTCCATCCGAGCTAGACACATCACCAGAATACCCACCTTCCCTCTTTTTCTAGTATCTATATTCATCTCTGCCCGCATCGCTCGGAGAGATTACATAGGTCCAAGAACTCAATGATGAGCACTGTCTACCCATCATACAATCATCCCCAAACTCTTTCACCTCGCGTAGAACACAACTTGGTTCAAGAAGCGTCAACGCTAGCAAATGATTTCATTTCCTAATTCTCTGTCTTGGCGCACGTATATGACGCATGGATGATTGATTCTCGTCGATTGTGAACACCCAAAGACATTCGACAAGTAGCACTGTCCCGATAGTCTCATATTTTTTACCCTCGAGAAGACAATGTGATTTCCCCATCAGCATTTCTCGCCTCGTGATTCCTCAACTCACCCAGCTCAACTTCCCTCTTTGGCATTTCCCCTGTTGTGGATTGTCAGCATTTAATCCCAAGACAAACAATGCAGAAAAGTCCAAGGAATATCTGACATTTGTTGCACTGAATATTGAGGCAATCAATTCAAATGTACAGTAAGTACCAGTACCTACCTAGTAGACATCATGGCAGCAATACCCCAACCGCATCACACCAGTACTTAAACAGCCTCCATTTACATAAAAGAACAACCCATTCACAACTCAAAAAGAAAAAAAAGAAAAAATCCACCTTCCTCTTCAAGTTTCAAGTCCATACGAAAAACACACCACAAACTTCAAAGGTAACCGTTGCAGTCAAAATAAACTCATCAAACCCCATCACCGGCTCTGATTACTTGCCGGCAAAAGATTACCCGGACCCCCTTGTAACGATCGGCTAATATTTAAGCTTCCCCATGTAATCCTATAACTACGAAGCGGCTAATTCCCCACAAACCTAATATCCAACTATCCGGGCCTTGCCGGTCCTCCATTGAAAACGTCAATTCCTACCCGGTACGCGTATATTTTTGGATGGATTAGAAATGCCGGAGCGGATGGCATTTAGAGGGGGGATTTTGGATGCCCACGCACGCAATATGGAGGGGTTATGGTGTTTTTTATTCAATTGGGATTTTGGGCGGTGGATCAGAGCTTGTCATAATGATGTCGTGCTCAAAGGTAAGTAAGGTTATATAAACAAGGATTACACAATGATGTGATTGTATGAATGTTATTTTTCCTGAGCAGATGAGCTAGCCATCTAGTAATCTAAGCTACACACAATGTTGTACTGTAGCTGTAGTTTATAGCAGCAAATCTACCAGTAACTGTGAGATGGTGAGAACCGAAGGCATTACACTATCCGGAACTTCATCCATGCTTCCATTCAATCATCCATCATCATAAACCATCATTCATCATCGACTCTCATGCCATAAGGCCCTCTTGCTCCCCCACATATCCAGATATGTGCCAATCCCAAGCAGTGTGAAATGTAAGAAAAAATCCCCCTAAAAACAACTATAGCGCGAATTCAATCAAGCGCAACCTGGCTCAAATGCAAAAAGCAAGACCAAACATTAAATGTATGAACACAAAGAAGTAGAAAAACCATCTCTAGAAGACAATTTAAGCTTCTGTGCCCACTCCATCTTTGCGTTCAGCACCTTTCCTATCACCAGCGTCTTTGGTGTATTTTTTCCATAATGCGGCGATATCCTCTTTACTTTCGTTCTTCTCCGTAATCAGATTCTTCAGCCATTTGTTTTCGGTCTCTAATTGATTGATACGACCCTCCAAAGCAGAAACTTTATCGCTCATGTCTTTCGCTGATCGCTCAAGAGCTTGCTCGCGTTGCTTCTTCTTGACTCGGAAGCGGGCCGAAGCGGCAGTGTTTCTTCGACGTTTGTCTTCTTCCGCAACCATACGTGATGCATCTTCGAAATCTGGAGATCGTCCATCAGATAAAGATTCGGCTTTGCGCTTTTCGCCAATTTGAGGGGAGACGAGTGCAGATGTAGGGGAACCGGCTGAGGAAGGAGGTTGATATATTTGATGGCCGGTTTGAATTGGATGGATTATTGGAGGTATGGCATTATGACTACCAAAATTGGTAGGATGACTGTTGGTAAAGGTACTGAAGTCCGGGAAACCGAAATCACCTGAATGGAGCATCATGATGTTAGCTTTTGCCTGCTTTTTTTTTGAAGAAGAGATGCTTGAAGAGAGAAATAAATGTGGAATTATATTATGGATCTGCAGAAAGACTGCAACAAGCGACGGCAGACGGGTATCAAACGAAGATTCGACCGGATACACACTAATGACTTCTAGGAAGACAAAAAGAGTGGAGAAATCATTGAATAACCCAGTCATTGTTGTGTGACACCACGTGATATGTCGCCATTGCTCGGTAATTGAGCATGCTTACCAAGCGATACAATAGAAGGGATACAAAGGAGAGATGCAGGAAGGGAAGGTAGGAAGGAAGGCTTCGAGGAAAGTTGCAGGAATGTAATGCAAGAGGATAAGAACTACTATTCTTATGCAGATGAGTGCACGTGGATATGTGCAGGTGTAGGTATTGGTTGAACCTTAACCAATAAGACTTTTCAGATAGATAATTGATCATGGTAACCATGTAAACAGGTCCTATGTCGATATTTGATGTGATATACACACTTGTGCTAAGAGAAAAAAATATGACCGACTACCTTCACTGTTCAGGATATCGTGGGGAGGAAACACGAAGAGAATAAAGTATGATAGAAGTACAATAATTTTACAGCAAGGACAGTGAAACTTGGGAAGGGAGGGCATCTCTAACCTGTAATACCAAAATCCATGTCCTTTAATTCCATATCAACACTATCCGCAGTAGATTGCGCTCCAACTCCATCGAAGTTTGGTGCCTGCAAATCTGTACCACCACCGGCACTGGCATTGACATTTTGGTCTAAATCGAAGTCGAAGAATTGTGCGTTCGTAAACATGGCCAAATCATCATCCACGTTGAATGGATCATGATTGGAATGTTGTAAATCTTGCGGTGTTGGAATTGCGTTCAGGTTCGCAATGTATTCCGATACATTTGGGCCCCGCCGTCCATTGTATGCCATCTTGAGGAGTATATTCGAAGATTTTGGGTGACTATCGTAGCCTATTCGTTTCTATGATATCGTTTGATGGAAGATTTGGAAGGTTTGGAAGGTGGGAGGTGGTTGAAGAGTTATTCGAAGTCTTTTTTTTGTTCTCCGAAATGCGCCCGATCCGAAAAGGCGACTGAATTGAAGTGATCAGATCCGCGGTTAGAATTATATGCTCGGTCGCTGTGGTAGTTATCTGTAACAAAATATATGATGAACCCCTTCGATTAGTATGGTATGAGTGATGTTGTAAGGTCGAGTCGTTGAGTGAAAAGTAATTCCGGAGTGATTGTGGGCTTTGATTGTTATGTTTGCCCCACTGCTTACAAATTATTTCTAGTATTATTAACTGCAAATAATCACGGAGAAATTTCGTGTACTGGTGAACTGCATATTATGTTCTCTCAGATATTTGAAGAATAGGAAGTTATCAGTCCAATTGAGGGTCTCGTGAACACGGTGAAGGAAACCCGTGTCACCATGAGTGATTGCAAAGAAATCTATCTTATCGTGGGGGTTTTCTTATTGTACAACATAAGGTGTGAGGTGTGATTACTATTCACTCTTTCTACCACTCGAGTAGGTAGATGAACCAGAAAGAAGTCCTTGATATCTAACATCATAGTATCAAAGTATCAAAGAATCAAAGTACCTGATTAGCTTGCTTGGGTACTCGAGCACATTTTCTTTTTGAGCAGTAAAAGTAGATTGAATAATGGGATGATATCGTTTCTTTAAAGTAAAATTATAAGGGTATTTTCGTATCCATAAATTGTAAAGTACTTTGAATAAAGACTGTTGACTCGATCTATTTTTGAATCTATTTGAATAAAAACGAGACCCATATGTTATTCTCATTTATTCAAATAATAAATTCTAATAACTTGGCGAGCCTCTTTGATCTCCAACCCTCGGCTTTGAAGGAATCGGAGCTTTTATGGATTTTCCCAAGATATCTCTCCATCCAATTATATCATGTCCCGCATTCCTATATCGGCGATTCCGGCCTACCAGAGACTCGCAGAGAGTGAGCCTCAGTGAGGTGAGTGAAAGATGCTGCTTTGATAGTATAGCATATGCTTTTGGCTGGAAGCGAAGTTCTTATGCTCCAAAGATATTCTATATACTGTTAAGCGGCGTTGCATGAAGGAGAAGCAGCTTAGATAGCCGTAGATATCCGTACCCATCAAAGCGTCGGAGACATCCGGATAATGGGGTCTAGAACAATCTCATGAAAATTCTTGAGGCTGGTGATGTTTATTTTTATCAAATGCGTGCCACACTTTATGTTGATTTTGCTACGGTATTCTATAAAAGATATACTCAGTAGTAAGCAGCACTTTCCCGAACGAATATCTTTTGAGGAATTAAAAATGAAGGAATACCAACGCCATGTATAGTACAATATAACAAAATGTGAATGAACACGTGAAAGTGGACTGCGAAATCATCCCTCTCCCCAATAGGTCGAGATCTAGCTCAAATGAAGCCCATTTCCCGTGGCAAGGTCACCACGATCAATAATCTTCGACGTCGTCGCTGATACTTTCGGCTCCGGCAGTACTATCACTGTCGCCAGTGTCATCATCGTCCTCACTACTGTCACCTTCTATCTTCCCATCCGTCTTCACAGGGATGAGCTTATCTGCTGGGGCAGAAGCACCTCTAACCCAGGCTGCTTCCAAGATATTCAACGCATGTGTCAATTCGTTGCGCAGAACACTTCTTACCCTTTCCCTAGCTTCATCATCTTGCGCAACCGCCAACATGATCATATCTCCAATTTCTTTTTTGAGATAATCGGATGTGTCGGTATGAGCGGCAATCAATACTTCCTCGAGATTGCTCGTCATCTTGTTCAGTCTTGATTCGAGCAAGTTAGAAGACTCGCTGTACATTACTTGGTTGCTCTTCCTAATGTGTTTGAGAAGGACATCTTTCATACGAGCAAGAGCTCCCGTATCTGAGAAATGACGTTTGTGTTAGTGACTGTGCAATGCTTTAGTAGGATATGGCACTTACTTGATTCTTGGCTACAAGATTGATATGCTGGACGCAGATGGTTATTGATGACCGGCTCAACCGATCTATGAATTTCTCGCCCTTGAAGTTGAGTTGAACTTAAAGACGCGGATATTGCGGTCTTAGTTTTCCTCTCCAAGTAGGGAATCTTGGCTAAGAAATCGATGGGCGATTTTGATGCTGAAGCCTCCGCAATGCTTTGAAGTAGAGGTTTTATATCGATTGAAAAGTTTTTGATCGCTTTAATTAAAGTTCCAGCATATTTGTCGTGAATACTCTGCATTTGGGAGTTGAACACCTTGTCCCATGATTTGGCGAGGTGTCCCAAGAATGGTTCTAGGAAAACGCCATTCCAGTCATAATCGACATGTTTCTTGTTGTTGAATTTGCCGAATCTACGACAGATGACCTTCCAAGTCTGGTATGAGGTATCCGCCTTTGCTGTGCTTGCTCGAATGCAGTCCTGTAATGTTGGCAGTATATCGGCTTTGATGATCTCGCGGATACGCTTCATCGCAAACTCCAAAGCATGACCAAACGCCTACACCAAGTTAGACATTGAAAGTAGTAATGAAAGTACCATATCTTGTGGAGAATTTCCAGCTGTTCCTCTAACATAGCATTAAGCTTGTACTTTTGAGAGGAGGACAAAGAGTTGGGCGACTCGTTTTCGGCCCATGATTTGATAGTAAGTTTGAGAAGATTAAGCTCATTCAGAAAGGCGTCGGTTATCTTTGTTCGTACGGTCAAAGTGGACGCTGCTGCATACTCCTGTAGACCTGGAATAAAGGTCTCATTTACTGTCGTAAATCCTTTAGACATTGGATCACGCTTAAAGCGTCCAGAAAGTCTTTGGTAACCTTTGGAAGACACACAGAATACTTGTAGCTGGTCAATAAGACCTTCTGTGTGGCAATTTTATGTCAGTATCAAATGATCACTGTGAGGATGGACATTGAAGAATATACCCTGGTGTATCAAATGCTTACTCTCAGCACCATCCTCATTTCCAGGCTTGTGCCCATCATTAAGATCATCAGAGATATCCTCTTTCAACTCTCGGAGCCCATTCTCAAAATCCATCTCAAAATCCATCTTAAGATGCTCTTGGGTATACTTGTTCCGAGCTTGGGTACAGGCAGCTTTTATATCATTCCTGGTCGACTTGAGCGTAAGCTTGAGTTCAGTAAGCTTCTTTTCCATAGTCTTCATCGTCTTGACACCGTCAGCTTTCTTCTTAATCAAAAGGCTCTTTTCCGATATCTGCTTGTCCAAGGTTGTCGAGTTAGCCGATGATTGCTCCCCCTTTTCTGCTATGTCTGCCTCAGTATGTTTGCGCTTGCGCGGAGTAGTTTTGCCAACTTTTGCCAACTTGGTATTCTCCAGGAGTAGTTTTAATGCTATTTTAATCTTCTTGACTCTGATAGATTTTCGAAGCAATGCTTCTTGGCCGTCATGAATTTCTTCCAAAATTTCTTCTTCTCGGGCTATCATACCCTTCAATTCCTTCGCTCGGAGTTGTAAAGATTCGATAACCTCTTCATTGTTGATAATATCCGTCTTAGTCATGATAAACGTGACGTACTTATCATCGTATTTGCCATTCATGAGTAGTTGTCTCCTGAACGATTTCCCCATCAAATTTTTCGCAACTTGGTCGTCAATCGCACGAACAATATCAGCCACAATCCATACATATGTGAGGTTTCTGGCATAGTTCTCTGCCACCTGTGTCCTGCCAGTATTGGAATCTCCAAGGCCGGGTAGATCAACGAGTACGAGGCCATGTCTTAAAATCTCAGCTCTTGTGTAAATATGAACACAACGTACCAAAGGCCAGTAGGATATTCCTGTCGAGGATTTTTGCTTGTTATTGGAATCGATGTGAATCTTGATTTGCTGTGAAAATGACTTGGCTTTACGGTCCGAAATTTCTAAACTGCAATCCAGTATGTTGGATACACCGTCGACTTGTTGAAAGAGTTCATCCGAAGTCATACCCTTCAGTTTGGCAAGAGTGACTCCGGGCCAAACAGCAGATATCTTCGCAAATGCCGTACTTGCTTCACTACCTGATTTGACAGACACATCTTCTCCCTTGGTTGCATTTTTTAGATCATCCAATAATATGTCCATCTCTTCTTTCCATTCAGTTTCACTGATGAACTTTATTTCAGCGCGGAAGGCCTTCTCTGGGTCATCTGAATCATTCCAGGATATCTCTGTAACAACAGAAGTACTGGCTCGCATGGCATTAGCCGGTACCACCATCTCCTCATCAATGAGGGCATTGATCAAGGACGACTTCCCGCTACCGGTGTAACCAAGCACTCCAACAAGGACACGAGGACGTTCTCTACCAGCGATAATTTGTTCTGCAAGAATATTATGTCAGTTGCATCTTATCAAAGCGATGAGGGAGAACATACTGGCTTGATTTTGCCAGTTTTTGAACTCAGGAAGCATAGCTGTGTGCGACGCCACGATACCTTCCACTTTCCCCAAGAAAAGAATACTATCCTCAACGGCCTTTTCCTTCCTCACCACTGTAACTGTGTCCAATTGAGCGACGCTAAGATTCATGTCGGGTAGTCCTTCGCTCATAGTAGAAGTGGAATCATCGATGATCTCGGTCTTGATCCCTCTTCCCCCGAGATTAATCATTGGCCTGCTTCACTTTTTTGGACCACATTTAATAGATTCATAATCGTGTAAGGCTGCTCAATTTGAAGTTAGTAAGACTGAATGAGAGTGAGGTTCAAATACAGCTTGTAAAAGTCTGAAAATGAAATGTGAAACGATGCTCTGATAATATTGAAAAATATGATCAATATGAGAAGGATCTGTGATTGATACCATTGCAAAATGAAACTGTAGATCTCCAGAAACTGCAGGGAATCCAGATGGCAAACTGTAGAACAACAAAGCAGTCAAAGATGAGAGCGCGGTGAGAGGTTGATAGAATAGCATCTGGGGAAGCTGAGCATGAGTAGACAGCCTAGTCATACCTTTCAGGGTAAGTGCTATATATCTGGATACCAATCTTGAAATGAAAGCTGTAGATGTCGCAAAAAAGGAGCAATATAAGTTATTGCAAGAATTGTGTACAGGTCAAATGAGAGATACCGTCGTGATAGAGAATAGGGCTAGTATATTATGTATGATGTTTAAATGAAAGCTAGAGGGATGTGAGTGAATATTTTGTTGAGGTTGTGATGATTTCATGGAGGATGACGGGAACAGGAGGGAGGGTATACGCTCGCTTGCGCGTTGTCCAAGGGGGAAGGAGCTCCACATGACAAAACTACCACCATAATCTTTGTGGGATAATTCCTGGAGCCCGTGCTGAGGTGTTATTCAAAGAGGGATTTGATACGGTAAAGGGTAGTTCTCGTAGGTGTGAGAGGAGTGCTCTTATTATTATGATACGAGGTTAAGCTACATAGTCATCGGCTAGGCTAGTCGCACCTGCCATATTGATCCTTAACAACGGTTTGTATCTATTGCGTTGGAGCTAAGTTTCCAACCAGTTTGGTTACCTTAATTGCAGTATGAGGTCCATAGAACAACTTTGTCTGGAATTTCTCATCTCATACGCTCGAAATGTCCGGACTGAGACGAACAATCGTCCATCTTCCGCAGGATGTTCATCCGATATTGAGCCTCAACACTGATACTCCGCACACCCGACGAGTTGACATGATCTTTGGGCGGGGCCGGTGTATGATATTCGAAAGATGGCAGGCGCAGGATTATACCGTTCGTGAACGTATAGAGCAGCTGCATATCCTATACAACCTGGCCCTATTAGACGGCAAAGCATGAGCATTGCGCCAATTTTCCTAGCGTATTCACCGTCTCGAATTTCCACGATGACGCCAACAAAATCGGAGGATGATACGAGGCTTGAGTTCTAAGAACGACTTCGCAGATTTGAGCTGCAACATAAGATAGTTGGGGCACTCTCACTGAAACCGTCGCATCGAGTGGGGAAACATGGTATGGAATGTAAGATTAGTATTATCGCCATGCCTCGAGAACAAGAAGAGGTTTTCGATGTCCAGTGTTTTGCGTATATTTGGGGATTCCTTCAGTCCTCCATGGTGTCTCCCAAACTTAGATGATAAAAGTGTCCCCAAATATACTATATGGGCTCATCACACCCCTTGGAAGGGAGGCCCAGCCATTAATGGGAGTTATCCGTAGTACTTGACCCTTTGTTCTTCAAGCTTTCTGAGCTACGAATAATCGACATATCCACACTTCTACACATCCGCACACGATGTAACTCGAGGTTACTCCCTCGGTTGTAGCTATAGAACCATAGAGGGTTATCTCTCATGACTATTTAAGAACTACCTAGAAGTCTCGATGCTGATACCGAACTGATGATCGTGCCTCACACCTTCCCAAGCAAATGCACATATTGTAGATGGAAAAAGATAATAAAAGAAACATGGATGGTAATGAGAGTTATACAGTCAATTACCATGACTTTCAACCCGTAAATGGTGCTCTTTGGAGGTCCATCGCTGTCGATATCACGATCGCATTGTAAACATTACCACGAGTGAAGAGCCTCGATGATATGTGTTCTCGATGCGTTGTATATGCATTTTGTTGCTTCGTAGATTGATCGTAAAGTCATTGATATTTCGAGATTTTACAGGGCTGAATTTTCAGCATCAGCTGATCGGGATGATTTCGTGATTTAGAACGCGACGAGACTAAAAACAAATAGCAACATCAACATCAACATACACATAACTAGGACTTGACGAAATTTATTATGAAGGTGTCAATTGATTCTGCAATTTTCATCGCTTGATCCTTACTCAATCACTTTTAATTGACCATGGCCTCAATATCTACCCCTACTACGTCTGCGCTTTCTCCCTCGCAACTCGTCCCCTCAACACACCCCTCCGTACATAAACTTCTCTCCCGCCTCTCGCGCCCTTCTCTTCTAAATCTCGCCCTCGACTGGCTGGACGAACGTAACCAAGTCAACACCGCTCCCTACCTTCTCGAAGCTGATGATTCCGCTTCCGACTATGCGCAGGATCTCTACCCACCTCATTCCACACTTGACTCTCTCAGCGAACTTTATACTTCATTCACGGCACAAAAAGGCAGTAAGCGCGATGTACTTGATCGAATACTGGAGGGAGATTGGAGACATGGGATCACACTGTATCAGTTAGCCATGGCAGATATGCAATATCTATACGATCATCCCACTTCACAGAAATGGACCGCCTTGAAAGTCGTGCGGCTAATATCCTCATCTCCTGACCATGAGGTTTCGGAGGAAGAGATAAAAGACACAGCAATACCACGATTTCATCCCTCTACGTTTTTACAAAATTTACAGAGGGAGATTCTACCGGATGTTAAAGCTCATTACAATCTCGATCGGCACGCTACTTTACCGTTGTTACTTTTGAGGATATATATAATGGATTCGCCTTATAATACATCGCTCGCGGTTTCATCCGGATCTACCAAACCGAGTATGGCATTCGATTCTAACAAGACATTCTACATTGCTTTTCCGGACGCTTCGCCATATATTTATGTTTCATTAAGTTCTGCTGCGGGGAGTGCGGGCGGGGCAACCGATACGAAAAGTCTGCGGAAATTGACATTGGATGGGATTCCGAAGGCATTCAGCAGACCGATGGAGAGATATAAGTTAGAGGGCACCGGTTTTTCTACGAAAAATCTAGAAGCACTGTGTGAGAAGAGGGGAGGAGGACGACACAATGCGGCGGGAGGGGCATGGGGAGTTTATGCGGGAGAGAATAAGAAGGACAATCCATTGAATCCATTATTATCCACATTAGAAGATAATTCACCAATCGAAGAAGACTCGGGGAGCGCCGATAAGGAGAAGCGAATACCGAAAAGCATGAAAAGACCTAGGGAAGAAGATGCTGCAGAAGTGGTAAAGAGACGAAAGAATATAGCCAAAGCCCGTTTTGGAAACTCGGCAAAACTCAACGATGGGAAAGGTATCGAAAGACTTGATATCCGTCTCGAAGACCCCTTTCCAACCCTCGCCTCCATAACACCTGAAATCGAAAATGAATCAGCAACTGAGCGACAACACCGGAAGAATAAAGGACGCAGAAGTACTATTGAAGCAGAGCTTGATGGATTGAACGAAGAGGATTGCGATGGAAGGACCGAATCAGAAAGGGACGAAAGGGGAAGAGATACATGGAAACCAGATATTAGAATAACATTTCATGGAAACCATGTATTTGCGGGAATCAGAGAGTTAGTTGAAGCGGGAATAGTGGATGGAGATAAAATGCCGGGATGGATGACTGGGGAAGAGGGTGTTAGTTTAGGAGTTGTGAGGAAAGGGAGGGTCAGGGGATTCAAGTGAAGTGGTGTTTGAGTGATACTTGTGATGAGCGTTTCTAATTGCATTGGGAGGTTTTGTGTTTTGGGTTTTGGGTTTTGGCGTTGGATGGGTGGTGATACCTAGAGTTAGAAATCTGCTATTGGCATTAATGCATTGTGCATTGATGAAGCTCAGTACTAAATAACAGCATTAGCACGATGGGCGTGTGATTTTCAGACTTAAATCTAAGAAGCATAACAGGTTGAAACGCAGGAACCAACCAAAAAGCTAATTTGCCATGAAATTCAATTCTTGATCAGCAGTTGAACCTTCTCATTTTGCAGTTATCATTCTAGTAATGGCTTGTAAACACAGTTCTGACGCGGAAAATTCAACGGAAGAAACCGATTTGACCTAAAATATGAATCTAAGTTCTAGTCGTCTAATATGTACGCAAATATAATTTATGTAATGAGTATACCACTTACGCTCCCAAGTCGAACATCTTGCAGCTGTTCTTCCATGCCACTTCTCTCAATTCTCCCACACTCACTCCTTTGACCCCTGCAACAACCCACGCCACCCGTCCAATCATACACGGTTCGTTTCTACCCTTAATCATTACCCCCTCTACCCATTTCTCCTTCTTCACACTCTTCCACCCCTTTCCACCCTCTATCGATCTCTCGCCCTCACTCATTCCTTCCCCTTCCCTCCCCTCTTCAAATCCCTTTAACCATTTCGAACTTGCATGACTAGGTCGTATCTCACACCAAGGCCCATCAGTCTCAATCTGAAGTCTCTCCATAGGAATCGCCTTCACCACTTCTAGGTTCTCTTCCGTTTTTAATGAACATCCATTTACCCCAATATCAAATCCCAAACTAACCAGTTCCTCCATTTCCTCTTTCGTCCCTGTGAAACTATGCACCACCCCTCTTTTAGGTAATTCTCCCAATCCTGCCTTCAATATCCGGACAAAATCTTCATGGGCAGCGCGTGAATGCAGAAAGAGTGGAAGATGTAGGCGAGTTGCTATATCTAGTTGTTTTTCAAAGTATTCCAATTGGGCATCTTTCGGACACAGTGTGAGACGATCGTAGTCGAGACCGATTTCACCAAAAGCAACGCAGTGGTTGGTGTCTTTTGCTTTCAAGGCCAATTCCTCGAGCTCTTGAAGATATGTCTCTGGAGTATTTGGAGCTTTCGTGAATTGGAGACAGGAACATGGATGGACTCCGACCGTGGCGAAGAGTACTCCGGCTGTAAGAATTGACTGTTAGCTTTTGCCAGTTCCTCATTATTCTCGCATTCTCAATATTTGTATACTCACAATACTCCTTAGATAACTCGACAGCCTTTCGAGACTCTGCCAAATCGGATCCAGTGACGATAAGTTTCTGACACCCCGCAGTAAGAGCTCGAGATATGACAGAGGGGAGGTCGGGAGGATGCCGTTGCGTATCGTAGTAGATGCCAGAGTATACGGGATCAGTGAGATTTATGCCTATCTACTGTGCATAAATTGATCAGCTATTGTGTTCGAGATCGAATAGATGCAAAAGGTCTACTAGGTAGGCAGGAGAATGTACATCTACATAGCGGGGTTTGCTCGCTTGTCCAGCTTCTAGGACACCGTTGCCGTTGGTAGAGGTAGACATGGCAAATCTGCGATAGTAGGTGCTTAGCAAAGTTGCAGAGTTTGATCTTGCCGAAGAGCTCGTAAACCTGTACAACGGGCGAAGATAATTCATGGAGTGAGTGAGATAAGGTTGTGGATGCTTAGGGGGAAAGAAGGCTGTAACTAATTTGCGGGGTGGGTTGTCAGCCTTACGCTACAGTAGGAAAAAAGTGCATGATGGTGCGTATCGTATCCAAAGGTGTCAAGGTTGAAGCTCAAAGTTGGCCTTATGCCGTGTTGTTTTGCCCTTGCTCGCATATGCATGGTGGTTTCATTTTTCATCTTATCTTCCCATTTTCATCCACCTCTCTTTCTTTACCCCTTTTTTCAAGAAAACGGGATGGTCAGAGGAAAGAGCTTTTCGAAATGAACGTTCTCATGCAGGCGAACTCTCTTTAAAAATCATGACAATTCACAATAAGGTATCTGAGTCCAGAGCCTTCGGGTAAAACAATTTAGTATGCTATAAACAAATGGTATATTTAAATGGAAAACAAAAAAATTGAAGAAAATGCATCTAGTATCTGAACATTCTGGACCTTTAGGTCTTTAGATCATCATTAGCCCAGCTATCATCCCATTCGTGTGCGCGTATCATAATATCCATCCCAAGTCATATCAAGTCTAGTTATGCCAAACCCATACACCTTCCAAATGCAAACATCATGCTCATGCTCATGCTCATGCCATCATATAAAATCGTGAAAACCCAATGAAATCCAAACACGGAAAGAACATGCTTAACGGAAAAGACCATCTACCAAACGAAAGAAATTCTCCCATAATCGTCATGATAAACTTGAATGCCCTTGTGTAAAAGCTTGCAACCTCAAACCACTCAAAGCAAGACCATCCTTAGTACTACTAGCATTACTTCCACCCCTACTTCTCCTCGTCCCAAGTATACGGTGCTCGCCAGGAATCTTCCCATGCTGGTTATTATTTATCAACGAAGGCGGAAAGGCAAGCCAATTGCCTCCAACCAAAGTTTTGCTATGAGATAAATGATCCAGATCATCACTCGAATGAACAGCATCAACTAAATCATCAAACTTTCTAGATGTCCCCGCTATTTTAGTGCCTATAACGGCTAGAGCATCGCGTGTTCTTCTAAGTCCATCGATATTGTTGTGCGTCAGTCGTTCGAGTGTAGTATGAAAGCCTCTCATCTCGCTTTCAATCTTCGGGAAAACATAATCGGAGATTCCACGTATTCGGGTGCCGTTGTCGTGAGACAGTTCGTCGAGTTGCGAGACTGCTTTGTCGAGTTCCTTGGTAAGTCGCTTATTCCCTTCAAGAACAACGGATTTCACTTGTGCACCGGTTTCGAGTACATCTTTGTCGATTCGAGCTAGGGCCGCTCCATTAACACGTACGGCGGTTGTGGTTTGCCGCACTGTTGAATCGAGGTTGAGAATATTCGAAGATAAGGCATGGATCGTTGAAGAGTTGATTTCAGCCGATGAAATCAAGTCGTTCTTGATGTTTGAGAGTAGCGAGGTATTGTCGTTTATTTTTGTAGAGTTATGTTCAATGGCGTCACGGATGGATCCAGTGGCATTGTCATAGTTCTGCAATTTTTCCAGGGTTTGAGAATTGGACTCTCTTTGGAATGTCTGGAGGCTCGAGAGGAAAAAGCTGATACCAGGAATGTCAGTACGGGTCAATGTATCCACGGTATTATAAGTATCTAAAACTGTCTCACGGATGTTTGAAAGCCTCGCTGCGTTGCCTTCCACGGCACCTATGGTCTCCAGAGCGGCCTTTGACAGGGCTTGGTCCACGGCCTCAATCGCTTTTCCAATCTTCGCAATATCTCCTGCGATAAGGTATTTCATCTTATAATCCAGTTGTGATAAGGCCAATGCATGGTCATTAGCGATTTTGAAGATTTGGGGAACGGCTTTCTCGATAGAATCAACGGAGGCTTGATTCTTGATGGCAGCGGACTCGAGCTCGCTGAAATCGATGGCCTGGATATCCTGGCGAATCAGGGGAACCTGTTTATCTAAAAGGAATCTAATGTCATTGGTACTTATAGCAACACTTGACTTAATGTTTGTCAAGATCTCAGTATTACCTTGAACGTCTCTCCCAGTCTCTTTGATTGCCTCATCAATCGATGCTACAAACTTTGATATAGAATCTATTGACATGTTCATTGAAACGTTCTCGGATGATACATGTGATTTAAAATTAGTAAATGCCTCTGGAAGGGCGGCCAGATTTCCGGCCGTTTCCACCGAGGTTTGGTAGGTGGATTGAACATCTCTGCTTAATGCATCGATAGATGTGTTTGTCGGACCGAAGTCAATATTTTTGATATCCGATCTCAACTCGCTCGTAGTAGTTGTAAATATTGAGCTTAGGGTTTTCATTTCCATCCCAAGTTCGGTGATGAGAGCGGACTTGTTGTCATGGATATCGGTTCCAATTGCTGAGTGAAGGTTTTGGATGGCAGTAGTGACGGATTCTTCGCTGCTCTTGATTTTTGTGTCAACCGAAAGAATTCCATCATAAGCTGTAGCAAGAGAGGTTGTGTTGTCCACGAGAAGTTGTCTGATGGCGAGGATTTCATTCTGGGTTTTTCCGATGCTGGTATCCTTGATCTCTAAGACGTCGGTATGAACAGCTTCGATTGATCGAGCGTTAGAACCAGTGACATTTGTGATAGTCTCTAGCGCTTGCCTGATCTCTCCAAATATTTCGTGATTGGCAGTGCTCTTGTTGATATCTCTCAGGACAACATCGTGATTGTCTAGAGATGTACCAAATCTTTCAAATCGAGAATACAAGCCTTGGACGCTTTCATGTCCAGAAGATGTAACATTCTCAACGTGCTGATCAATAGTATCAAGGCTGATTGTGACGGTCTTGAGGGTCGTTTCGGTACTGGAGTGGAAAGACGATAGATCGTGAGAAATAGTATCAAGTTTAGTAGTGTGAGATGCCAAGAGTGTAGCTAGAGAATCACTGTGAGATGCGGATTGAAGGCTGTTAAGCAAAGTGGCAATATCATCCAATCTTTTGGCATCCAACGGTAACACTGTCTGCTTGTGAATATCTTCGAGGGTGTTACTTTGAGCCTCAAGTCTTGCGTCTAATTCTGCTCGCATGTCCGACAGTCGACTAACCAAGTCATCAAATTTGGCCACTTCATTACTTGGAAGAAGAGCTGAAGTTGTTTTCGAGACACCATCTTGGATATCAGCCATTGATTCAGCGAAGCTAGTCATCATTGATGCGATCATAGTGAGTTTATCTCTGTGAGCATCGAATTGAGATGTATTCAATGTTCTCACGTGTTGCTCGACTCGATCGACAGTGTCTCTCACGGTTGCTGTTGTTGAGGAAAGATTATCCAATTTTTCGGAATTCGAGATGTGAATAGATTGGTCATTGGCTGAGACATGCTCGTTGACGGATTCGACGACTTCAGTAATTTTGGTGACTTGCTCGATGATGCTGCTGAGACGAGATGTGTTTGTCGATAGTAATTTGGAGTCGATAGATGCCATATGTCCTTGACCTTCTAGTTCCTTTCGAACAGTAATAATGCCCCTTTCGATATCATCCAGCCTCTTTGAATGATGTTCAAGCGATGATGTGTTGAGAGAAGAGACAATTTCGCGGACTTCCTGGATGTTGCGAGCTAATCCCTTCTCTGTGCTTTGAATACTCTTCTGGGATTCTTCCAACTTTGACACACTCTTCTTTAAGCTTTCCATCCTATCGACCATCTGGGAGTTTTCATTCAACATCTCATCGAGTTTGCTAGAATTCGAGGATGATGAGTCAAATTCCATCGAAGAAACTTTATTGATGACATTTCGACTGGATTTCCCTAGATCCTCAATCATTCCGATCATTTTCCGGTGGCTACCGTCAATCTTTTTACCCAAATCTCCTTCCACCGACCATAATCTCTCCCCAAGCATCTTGTTTCGGTCCTGAAGTTCATTGGATAATTCCCCGAACCGGATGGCAGATCTCAAATCTGCGTTCACAATCTCCCCATCAAGGCTTGTTATTTTCTGCTCAAACTCCTCAAACTTCGAATCGATTCCATTCAGACGCTCGTCTAGTGATTTTAAAATCTCTAGAATCTTCTTTTGACCTTCCGCAAGGGATTCGATTTCGTCCTCGGTGTCTGGAATATCATCGATCAATTGGCTGATTGGTTTGAGAGCTGGATCCAAAGTAGATTTGATGTTTGCGGAATTGAAAGATGACTCAAGATTTAATGTTGAAATTTTTAAAGCATTCAACTTCTCTTGCTGTCGGGAAAGAGCACCAGTCACGGGATCGATCTGAGATGAAATGACGTTTCTGAAGGCATCACTATTGAGAGCATTGAGCACAGCTTCTTCAACGGCTTTTTGAAATGGTTCTTCTGAGCTTGGAGTGTATTCCGTCCATGAAGCCAATCCGCCGGATGTAGTAGGTCTAGTCGTACCATTTGTTTCAGGTGGCGCGGAACTGGTAGATATACCTGATTGGGTACGATTCTTCTTCCATCGATTAAGAACGGAACGACTACCATTCAACGACATATTGGACGTTGGTGGTGGTTTTGATGGTGTTGATGATGTTGATGATAATGATAATGGGGGTAGATGATTGGTTTTGATTTTGGTTATGTCTGGTGGTATGATGATAATATCTTCGATTATTGGCCAACTTTTAGGCTTGGTTTGAGGGTCATAATGTTGGAAAGATTTCCGTGAGGGTGGAGGTGAAAGATATTGAATGTACAATAAAATAAGGGGGGGGGTTGGGTTGATGGATATCAATTTCGATAAGAATAGATGAATTGATTTATGAAATGAAATTTTTGTGAATAAACGTTTTTCCACTTCTCTACTGAGTTCTACTCCATACATACATGTTTATGCCATGCAAGCAAAGACCATGTGGCGCCGGGCAGTGGAGTTCGAGATTCGAGGTAAGACGTGTCAGAACAAATTTGGTTAGCATATCCCGTGATAATCCGCTGAAATTCATCTCTCTTGGGAATAATAATTCGTTGTCATTCATGCCTAAAGTAACTAAAAGTAACTAAAAGTAACTAAACAACACATTCATGATACTATTCGCTTCGAGTTGTACCTTAGCTGCAGTCGTGTTATTGGATTTGTGGATTTAATTCACCAACTAAAGACATCACGTCCAATTAACAACTCGACCAACAGAATAAAAGGGTTAAACCGTTAAATAAGAAGGGGGTTGTAAGGTTTATGAAGGGGTATCTCGGATATCGGTTTATGTGGGTTGTTACCCTTTATGCAGCCGCTTTGCATTTCCATGATTTTGCCGTTGTGTTCAGTAACTCCGTAGACATGGTTACAAGTGTCACAGTGGGTTGCATCTTTATAATCTTCAATGGCTTCAATACATATGAAAGATTTGTCCCTTATATTCTAAAGAATATAAGGCAGCTAGCTTATCATCTAATTTCAGCCTCCGAATTGAACTACGAACTTGTTTGTCGTAAATGCTCATGGTCAGAATCCTTGAAAATGACTCACCGCTTCTCTTGCCTATCAATTAATCAATTATCAAGACTCAAGTTATTTTCACCTCTCATTCCCAGCCTCATCTGTTTCATTCGTCTTCAGCCATCATTACAAATAAGGCGACCAAGGTGGAAGTTGCACGTTTATTTCTTTAGTTCACCAATATCTGCCAAATTATATCGTCTGTTGTCTGTTGTCTGTTGTCTGTGCTCTACCCCAGTTCTCAAAAGAGTTCGCAGCTAGGCTTTTGGGCGAGACGGCCGTTGCGGAAGATCAAAAATTGATGATGGCTTGGATGGATGGATGGTATTATAATTAAATATCATATCTGGAGAATGCAATTATTACTTTGGTGGGAACTGATGTTGGATCATATTCGACTAACCGGTCACAAATCCTTGGTAAGTTGTCTCTGCAAAAGCCTGTATCTCTATCTCATTCGCTGGAAATGATCTTTCTCCCATTTCTTTTTGTATGATCGGGGCTATTCCTTCTTGATTGATTGCATGAGAAGATGTGGGGTGCTTTCTCTTTCTGCCTGACCCCGCGTTTTGGCGGCGAAATGACCAGAAAGTAGGAGTTGCTGTTGGCGGTGGTTCAGGTTACCCGATGGCTTCAATTGAATTAATCACATGATCAAAATAAGCTTCAATAATATCAAATGGTGCCAGTGGTATTATTAGTATAAGAAAGACCCCATTATTTCATCCACCAGCGACTCAATTCACGAACGAAAAGAAAGACCCATTATTTCATACACCCAACAAAAGACCCATTCCATTCCATCCACCAACGAAAGCCTCATTCCAATCCTTCATTGGTTGAACCCAAAAGCAATCAAGAGTTGACTTTTTACTTGAGCACGAGTACTACCGGTAGTTTCTTGACCTAAAGCTTTGATAAGCTGAATCATTTCTGGTCTGAAAAGTTGTTAATAAATGAATACTAATCAATATTGATTTTAGAATCTTTACCTTGTGAGATTCATCAAAGCTTCTTTCCCTTCAGGTACATTAGATAAAGGTTGACCGATAACATCAGGTTCGTCGAGATCCACACACAACAAATTATACAAAGTATCATCAGGTTTATTAACAAAAAACCTATTACTAACTCTTGCCGCAGAGTTGTGTTGATGAGCAGCAGATAATTTATTTTGAATAGCGAATTGATTTTTCATCTGTAACAAGTTAATCTTTGATAGATATGAATAATTAGGAGTCCTTACTTCCACCTTCAGTCCTCCCATGTTTGTTTCAACATTTTCCACCTTAGTTTCCACTGATATTGTTCGATTTGTGACATCGGTCAATTGAGTCTCCATGAGGGTAAATCGAGTCTCCAAGCCGTTGATTTTGTCGGTCAATTTAGTTTCCATGCCGGTCAATCGAGTGTCTATGCTGGTGAGTTTGTTGGAAATTCGTTCAAGGAGAGTCATGCTGGGAATTGCATTGCGAGAAATATCTTCTTGTTTATTATGAAACTCTTGGAATTTCGTGTTTATTGATTCAGTCATCTTTGTAAGACTAGTTGCCATGGAATTATAGTTGTCTTGGCAATGTTGTCCATCGACGTTTTTAGGTAAGCGATCTCAGTTCCAAATGATCGATGACCTTCAGTAATCTTGTTGATTGCATCAGCCATGTTTCGACTGTTCGGTGTCTGAATGTTGGGGGGTGGTGCTGAAAGAAGGGGAAAATCGAAGTGAACTTGTGTATAATTCTGAGATGGCATTTTGATTGAAATTGAATTAGGTTTGGTTTGATGGAGAAGTGGATGATGAATAAGTGGATGATGAATAAGTGGATGGTGATAGTGTGTAAAAGAAGAAAGTGGAAGGAAAAGTGGAAAGGATGAATGTTTAGCATTTACGTGTCTTCGCTTAATTGGAGGCTAACTTAGATTGACTTAGTGCACAACAGGGGTACAGTATCAGGCTCACATGATGAATTACCATCCAGTTCTGCTCACTTGCTTCCACTTCCTGGTATCACGAAACTTCTAAACTCCTCTTCCATACAAACATCCCTTCATCCTTTCCAGCAAAGCTTGGCATCACAATTCTACAAGCAAGCTCCCAACCACTCATCTCTTTCTCAAACCACTCTTCCATAGTACAATCACTGAGTCCCGTATATCGATTCGCATTTTGTGTTCCAATCACCACAATTGTATTCCCTTTATAGGCACTCAAAAGTCTCTTGGTAAACGTCCCTGCCGTAACCATATACACCATTAACAGTAATTTATTCTTCCCCCCAGCATTCTTCTTCAAATATTTCACTCCATCTCCTTTTTCCGTATCAGATATCCACATCTTCCGATACTCACTCGTCATGTTATCAACTGCGCTGACGTTTAAATTCATTCGTCGTAGGATATATGTCCAATACCCATTCCCACTCGCCATATCAATAACTCCATCTGCCTTGGACTCTCCCACAAGTTGAGATATGATGTAAAGGGAATCGTAAGATGGTACCACACATCCAAACTGATGGTAAAGAACAGGAAGAACAGGATGAGTCATTTTCGCTGCCGCCGGATTCGAATAATGTGCATCGGGAAGTGGTCCTAGGAAAGATACCATCCGACATGTATGAGCCCAGATATCATAATATGGATTGATGTGTGCGTTTGCTTTCGGTATCTTGTATGGAGTAATTCGACGTGATTGGAGGTACTGTGCAATCGATTCTCTAGGTGAACTTTTCTTTGCATTGGAGGAGAATGCTACAAGGGCTTTGGATGTATCGGTCTTGGAAGAGAATATTGACGTATAGGCATTGATGTCTGCGAGTGAGACCTTAGAAGTTAGTCAACTAAAATAGTGATCAGTGAATGAATCTCACCTGAATGATCTTGCCATGATCTTGATAATGATATTTTAATTTGCCGGTGTTGATGATTTCTTGAATTTGTGGTAATGTCATAGCGAATGATTCGGCGCGGTAAACATAATTGTCATTCTGGGACAACCCGAATGTATTGAGGATTGTTGTGGAGAAATCATCTTCTATTATTCCACTCCAATTATCGAAGATCTCATCGGAAGAAGGAGGAGGCATCGTGATCAAAGGGGGCGATTGAGTTGCGATCAAAAAGTTGAGGTTGAGGTTGGTTTCGCGATTGATGTTCGCGATAAGGGTGGAAAAGTCCCATCATGACGTACTTAAAATCAATCCTTCATACAATGCCTGACATAACGAATAACGTCCGAGGGACGGTGAGGTAGGTTGAACAATGGTAGTGATGAAATTGACTTAGTAAAAGATAACTCATTGATTGACTTATGGATTTATATATGATCTCTTTTACTATTCTGTACAAGTGAAATAGGTTGAACAATAATAGTGATGAAACTGACTTAACTTTACCACACGTTTTCAGCCCCCAATTCTTATACATACAGATAACCCCTGAAAAGATCAAGCCTTACCGATCTCTCTTACTTGACTGGTTATAAGCTTTTCACTATTCACTATTTTATTTTCCATACTATATACTATATAACCATGTGGCGTGATTTTTGTAACAAGTCGCCCTAGTCTAACCTTTTCTAGAAGTTACCTAGGTAAGGTTAAAGAATCTCCACTTGTCTTGTGATCATTACCATACATTTACATTAATACATTAATACCCGTAACTCCTACTTTCTCTCTCTCTTTCTTCCTTTCTGGGCCATCTACATCTGAGAAGATGACAATCCCACTCCCCTCTCTTCGCTATACTGTTCAATCTGTCCCAGCCAATCTACTCCAATTCAACAATAAATCCTCTTCTCCACCATCTCCTCCCCCACCTTCCCGGGAATCAACCACCAACAGTCAAGAACCAAAAGTAAATGTACTCTGGATAGGATGTTCAGATTCCCTTGTATCAGAGACTGATGTCCTCACAAATGTTGAACGATCTGAGATTTTCGTCCATCGCAACTTGGGAAATCGTGTTAGTGTTGGGGACACAAGCAGTGGAAGTGCAATTGAATGGGCCGTTGATGTTTTAAAGGTATATTGAAAACTAAGCTAAACTCTCTCGGAATAAAAATATTGAAGCCATTGGCATTAGGTACAACACATTATCATATGCGGACACTATGATTGTCATCTCCTTGAGGAGTCGGAGAGTGATAGTAATAATTGGTACCGGTAATTCTCCCCAAAACTGTCTTGTCTTTTCCTACTGCATAATAAATGTTACAACCCCTCCTCCCTCTATTTTTTTCTCTTTTCTTTCCCTTTACTCATCATATCACCCTCCTTCCTCTATTCTTTTCCCTTTCTCTTTCTTTTTCTTGTCCCTCTCCATAATCCCCTTTTCTCACTCCATTACCTTCCTCCCTCTCTACCCCCTCCCCCCTCTTCCCCCTCTGTCACTCCACCCCCTCTCTACCCCCTCGCCCCCTTACCCCCTCTCCCTCTCCCTCTACCTCTCCCCACTTCATACACTTCTAATCACCCTTGACAATACGAATTTCACTAATATCTACAGCGACATAATCCAACTCCATCAACAATCTGATGCTCTAGAATCACCCGCTCAATCACCTCAATCTCGGAATCGTCACTTCACGGAACTTTACGTTCTATCCGAAGTGGAATGGTTAAGTAAACAGCCTAGTGTTGAAAGAGCGATGAAAGAATGGGGATGTCAAGTTCATGCTTTTGTGTTTGACCGGGAGCAAGATAGTTGCGTTAGATTAGTACCCGAAAGTCAAATGAAATGAAGGCCTCAAATAAGAAATTCAAAGAATTGTAGACGATGTTGGAGTTTTGGTCGAAGGATAAAATTATAAAACATTACTCATACGCAAATCGCGCAATAAACAAACACTAATCATTTGGGTATGTTCATCTCATCTCTTGCTGGTATAAAAACTCATCGAAAAATAAACAATACTCTTGTTCCCCTCTCAGGACCACTTCACCTAGCATTATTACATTCCTGCCCCTCGATCAATCCAGCCAGACATCAAGACATCATATTAGACTTGACCATAGAGCTTCTTGATTAAAAATCGATCATCTTCTCCCAAATTGGCGCCTCCAGTACTGTGTCTACACCAAGACTGTAGTTGTAGTTGCACCTTCAGTGATCTCCAATGACTAGCTAGCTTTGCGGTAGCACTTTAATTGAAATAGGGGATGATCTGCTGAACGAGGCCAAAGATAGTATGATGTTACTTGCCGTGTAAAGATAAGAGAACTGCTCATGGACTACCCATAGCTTCAACAAAGACCGCAACCCCAAGACGGTGAGGTCTGAATAAGAGTGGCTCGTGGCTGGGAACCATGTAGATCTGTAAATAGATCCATAAACTCGATTTCAGATCGACAAGACAAAGATTTATAATCTTACCCTAATAATTCATACCACATGCGATATTGAGATGTGAAAATGCATTTTCTGTACTATGCCGATGTCTCTTCTCAATACCCCTCATGACTGATATCAAGGAGGAGGGCTCAAATCCAACCCTTCCACTGTCAATTTGAAAGCATCATTCCTTTTACTCATTAGCAAAATAGACGGAAAAGGTTCAAAAAAGGTGAGCATACCTCGAATAACTTCCACCTACATCCAGATCCAATCTGCCCCTCAAACAATCTTCAAAATCGATGTCAACCAATAATAAACCATTCTCATCTTCCCATACTGGACCCGCAAGAACATCACCCAAAGGAGAAATGATACACGAACCACCTCTACAAATAAACTCAGACGTATCTTTTTTGGGAGTTTCGATGACCTCCGGTATTCCTTCTATCCTCTGTGGAAGTGCAATCTCACATCCATCATCAGTAAGAATGGATTTCCTCCTCGACCTTGATTGAGTATGCTTATATCCATCAAAATGCCCATCTTCAATAGCACTGTCTTCTTTGTTGTATCCAGTAATCCAGCTCGGAAGATTTGATCTCTTTATGCATTGATTCGCACTCAGTACCACGCATCTACCCTCACACGCGACCGTTCGCATTAATGGTAGCCACGTATCCCTCGCATCTGCCGTGGGAGCCAGATATAAATTGACGTTTTGGCTATAAAGGGATTGTCGTAATAAGGGCATGTAATTCTCCCAGCATATCGCAGCCGCCAGTGTAAGTTTCACACCTCGAATTATGGTAGCAACCGCTCGCAATGATGAAGGTTGACCTTGACCCCATATAAGTCTCTCACTGCCGGTCTATGTCGCCATTGGCATCAGTCCTGAACACTTCGAAGCACCAAATCATTAAGGATGAAGACAGAATGACATACTGGCATAACTTTTCTCCTCTTTCCAATTATTCCTAATCTTGGACAAACATAGACAACACCACAATATAAACTCCCACCACATCTCTCAACTAATCCGGTCACAATGAATACTCCAGTCTCCCTCGCAATTCTCTCAAGCTCCTCTCTTGTTCCATCTCCGCGTTTTCCATCATCTCCAACCTCAAGTTCTTTGTTTACCCATTTCTTTCCTGATCCTTCTGGCGTATCCCCTAAATCGACAGCATCTTTGTAGTAATGTAGGAATTGTTCACGACCTTTAGGATCTCGAGCTCCAATTGCTGCGCCAAATGTAGCTGTCCGGGGATAACCTCCTAAATATGCTTCTGGGAATAGAATGAGATCGATAGATTTCGTCGAGGCTCGTTGTGTGGTTTCAGAGAGGGCGGCAAGGGTTGCAGATGTTGTAGAGAGAGTGTGTGTTTGCGAGACTGCTAGACGTAATGTTTGTGCCATTGTGTCTGAATTTGTAAATTAATATTAATATGATATGTTATAAGCTAAGAAGTTTCGGAGAGCTCGGGGTAGCTTTTAAAAAAATGCGGGGTGTTAGCTTGGCTCGTGCAATGGATCTCTTTGTTGAACTTTGATATACGAGTTATATGGGAGTTGTATAGTGAGTGAACGAAATAGAAGTTCTCAAAGTAATATTCTTATTATGCTATTCAAAACTAAAAATCATTCCTCCTCAGGGTATCCAATAGTCCAGACTACAATCCAACAATAAGATATTCTTCATTCCTGAATTGGACTACAAGCCCAGACTATTGGATACTCTGTGAATTCTCCTATGTTGTTCCTTTACTGAAGCACTCCATATTTTAATTCATACATCCAAGCAAGGGAAATCTTCCGCTGCACTCTCCTCGTTGAATCCTACACATTTCCAACAACTCAACAAACCATTCGGATCATATTTCCTCTTTATCTCAACTAATCTCTTATAATTCTTGAGTCCCCACCAAGCTTCTTCCCAATCACTGGTCCATGGATGGGCTTCGTTGAAATACGCACCTCCTGTCGGCGTGAACTCCTCTACCATTGTGGTCAGATTATTAACCAGACTAATTTGGGTTTCTCGCTGCTCCAAAGTTTCATTATATGTCCATAATCCACCATACGAAAGTGCCCATATGGAATCTCGCCACGCGGGAGTAGCGGATGTTGAGGCAGGATCCCAATGATAGAGCCACGGCGTGGTATTAGGAATGTATGGTGAGTATCCAAGAGATATCAAATGTTCTAGAAAATTCATCATTTTCGCTCTGCCCTCTGTACTGTTGAATAGAGATGCCGGTATGAGTCGAGGAGCAAGTGGGCGAAGACTTCCAACAGCGGCCTCGTTAGGGATTACATATTTCTTATAGAAATCCCACCAGGAAGAAAGAACCTCGACCACTACAGTCCCATTATTTGCCTTTGCAAATTTTGCAGCTGGTTCCATCGATTTAACTGCTTCGGAAAGATTGAGAAGTGGTGTCACACTTATCAGATTAGTAGTCTGATAATGTCCACCCCAACCTTGATTCGCCCACGGTAGGGAATTGTCCACAACGATAGATAGCCATTCTAAAACGTTGGAAGTTGTACGATTATATGAAATAGCCGCCACAGCTAGCTGAATCCTCGGCTCGACACGATGGGTGGCTTCCATCACAACTCCAAAAGTTCCACCGCCACCTCCTCTTAATGCCCAGAAAAGATCCGCATTTTGACACTCGTTGGCGACTCTCGAAATCCCATCGGTGGTAACGATTTTGTATTGGACAACTCGATCAATTCCTAGCCCATAAACAGGTGAAAGAATTGAGTGTCCACCTGCTTGTACCCAGCCGCCTGTTACACCAATTGTCGTTGCATAGCCTGCAATGAATGTAACATTGTGAGTCTCTGCAAATCGATAAACATCATTGGTATTAACACCTGCAGCTGTAGTGATGGCGTTGACCGGAGTTGAATGACAACCTTCAGGTACGAAAAATGCATTATAACTCATTCCTGATACATTCCTCATCCACAGAGCCAAAGATCCCTTACGACTACTCCGACTAAGATAATCATGTCCACTGTTCTTGATAGATAGTCTTATTCCAGTCTTCTTGGAAAAAGCAAGAGCGGCCACAACGTCAGAAATCTCCTCAACCTGGATGTAATACTTCGAAACACTTCCTTGATTACAACTGACATTGGTGAAAGCAGTAGCGTCAGTTGGAAGCACGTTATTAAGAACGCATTGGTCGGTGACATTGGTAAAACAAATCTCGTCTTGGTTGTTCATGAATCCGTTATAAAACTGAGTTCGGTAGTCTGAAGACGTGTAGTTATTTTGAATTTCTGCGCATTGTGATGGATCTGGAATAACTGCCTGGCCTTCATATATTGAGAAGCAGGGAAGTGAAAATGGTCGCGAAGTATGTAGTCGACCACTCAATGTTTGGTTCAGTGATGACCATATGTCAACACACATTATTTCGTGAATGAGAATGAATAGAAATAATTGGTATTGACATAATGAGGAATACATTTCTCCCGTTGAAATTCTTGAAGGATGCTTTGGAAAATTGTTGTCTCCCTTTCCAATTCTACACGACTACTTCTAGCAGTTTTTGGATGATTGAAATCAAGAGAACAAAGGGACGCCAACAGATTTAAAAAGAGATATCATTGGAACATATATCAATATAACATCCAACCCAACTCGATCCTTCCCCGCATCACTTTTGAGCTGCAGAGTCCTCGTGCAGCTTTGCACGGCTCAAACTATAAATTCTCTAGTGATATGAGTAAGCGTGACCATAGATTTGGTTATGATTGGAAGTCATTGACCAATTTCAAATTCTTAGTATTCAATGGCCCAACCTGAACTTAGTATGCATAAGACATCTCGTACATATGCAGTGATTGGGTGCAGAAGTATGCATTCGAATGCTGTCTGGGGAGATTATTCATCAAGGCTGACTTTGATTGCCATGATTGGAGATGCAACGCTGTATCCTATCTAAGGTACTTACCCCGAGCATACACGAAATCTTCAGGCTATAAGTTGATTCCAGAAAATTTGTATCCATTTCATGGAAAGAAAGGATAGGGAATAGCATGGTACCCTAGACTGAAGATATGATGTAAAGTAGTCAATTATTGTCCCAACCGAATTGGTAAATGAATGAATGTTTAAACGAACCGTATATATAGATAGTACTTCTAGTAAGTGTCTGAGAGAGTCCTATCAAACATTTAAATACCCTGCCAACTCTTCCTCCGTCCATTCCCACAAATCATCTGCCAACTTCTCATCTCCCGTGTACTTATTTCCATTGCCAGAGATTCCCACAGGTGTATAATATTCGCCTTTCAAAACTTCGCCTTTCGCATTGCCCTTGTTTGCTACAGCAGCCCAGAGTTGATTCTTTACTCCATCAGCCATACTAGTGAAAGCCAAGTCTCTGACTACCCCTCCGATTTTCCCAAACACCCCATATTTCTCCAACGCGGTCCCATACAAATTTGTATTCACAACTCCCGGGTGAACAGATACAGCTGTGATACCTCTCTCGCCGTACCTTTTGTTCAACCCTTTGGCGAAAAGAATGTTCGACAGCTTTGATTGTCCGTATCGAGAAGATGTTGGATAAGTATTCATATCCGTTTTTAAATCGTCGAATTTGATACCTCCAAAAGGACCTAATGTATGACCCAAACTACTCAACGAGATAACCCTCACATCTGCATCTTTCTGCTCTGCCGTCTTCAATAATGTGGGGAGCAGCAATTTCGTTAAAAGAGCATGTCCAACGTGATTTGTCCCAAATTGAATCTCATAGCCTTGTTCTGTAGTCGCAGCTGGTACCGCCATGATTCCCGCATTTAGGAATAATAGATCGAGACGAGACTCTTTCGTTTTGAATTGGGTGGTGCATTCCTGGACAGATGCGAGGGAGGTAAGGTCGCATTGTATAAAGGTAATTGACGCATTCGGTACTTTGGTTTGGATTTCTTTGATCGCGGCGGTGGCTTTAGGTTCGGATCGAGCGGCGAGATATATATGTGATGGATTGTGCTTAGATAATTGAAGAATAGTTTCGAGACCTAAACCAACGTTTCCTGAAAGTATTGATTAGCATTGTGTCGAGATTGAAGGTGATTGATTGTGGGAGATGTATACCGCCTGTAACGAGAATGACTTTGCCAGAGAGATCAGGAATATCTTTCTCGGGTTTGAAGGAGACACCTCCTAAGCCGAAGAAACCATATAACATATTGAAAATAATTCGGTATCAATTGATGATGTAGCAGAGGTTGAGGAACGAGGTATGTGTGTCATTGATTAAGTTTGACGTCGCCCAAGATAGCTCGATGTAAATTGTCTGAGCCATCTTGCCGAGGGCATGTTCATCGTCGTTCTTTTTGACATCGAAACTTGGGAGACTTTGTTTAACGAAAATGTTTTCAAAAATTTGACAAAGTTTTGTTTGATATTAGGGAGGTTACACCAATATGGAAAGTAGGCGAATATGTATTGAATATTACTTGAGTAGATTATCTAAGAAAGCTCTGTTATTTAATGTTTTATACTTCTAGACGACTAGACGACTAGACGACTAGACGCTACCTCAAATATACTACCAAGTTGGAAGTATCGGTATTGGATACTGCAATTCGTTACTCTATGCTTTGAATCTCGACTGCGTGTCTCCAATTCTTACCCCTCACGCATCTACGAAGGTAGTTGAAGATTAATGCTAGTGGGTAGATGATTCTGAACCGATATCAGACAGCACACACAAAACTATCAGACAAGCATGCAATGAGGCTTCTAAAATTACCTATTTTGAAGCTACATGATATCGTCCGCTCGAAACTACTCATCTTATCCCTCCATCGTGGTATCTTGTTACCTCTGATCGTTCAAAACACGTTACGCCGAGCAATATCGATGTAGCTCCACCTTAGCTAGCATTCTGGGCATCATTGCTACTCAGTTTCTTCGCGAGAGTGATCGTGTATAGCCTTGTATCCTTTATTTGATCATCGCTGATTCTTAAACTAGCAAACCGAACCAATTTATCTGACAAATTTTCATGTTTTATCACGATTGATATATATCCATGACTTCCTTTCTGTGGAACTGATCTACGCAATTGAAGTCTTGGCAATGGAGTTTAAAACAAACAGGGGCGATTATCAATAGCAGAACCTACGCGTTCTAGGAATTTTCTATGGAGGCATACCGGTAGTTAGTCAATCTTTTTAAAAGATTATCGAAAACTTGTCTAGTCCAATTCCCCAATTTGTCTCTGAATTTGAAATCACGAAGGTTTTCTTTCCGATGTCACCATCGTTCTTTCATGTTCGAGACTGTGATCGACCAATATGTACAGTTTCATGGGCTTAAATGTTGCTGCTTATATCACGATATTCCTAAGCAATACCTCTCATCAAGTTCGGGCTAATGCTGCTTGGATTACAAGTGAAAACTATGATATATACAATGCCGGAGAATATGGCGATTGGCCAAAACAGCACTATCATTCATCCGATTTGATATCCCCCCTATTTCTCGTCAATAAATGGAACGATAGTGCTATTAGCAAACATTCCCATATTTTCATGTCACCAACGATAGACGGAGAAGACAAATCACCCATGATACTTTCCAGCAAAGATCTAAGTCTAGTTTATGCGGATCCTAAATGGAATGGTGGTTCAGATACCAAATTACAAATTTACAACGACGGAAAGCCATATATAACATTCTGGTCAGGTATCGATTTTCAAGGTCATGGATCTGGTGGGGGGGTAATGCTTAACAGTTCCTATGACAAAGTCTACAATGTCTCTGTGAATTCGTTAGCTGGAGGTGCGGATGGACATGAGTTTCAATTAACGGAAGATGGAGGGGCGATGATGAATAATTACCATACTACTATTGCCGATTGTAGACCGGTGGGTGGTCCTAATGGTGGGAAAGTTTTGACGGGTTCATTTCAGGAGGTCGATATTGAGACGGGATGGGTACGATATACATGGAACGCACTTGATCATTTCAGCTTGAATGAATCTTTCACGACTTACTTCGACGAAGAATGGGGATGGGATTGGTTTCACATGAACAGTTTACAGAAAACACGAGAAGGACATTATTTGATCTCGAGTCGTCATTTGAGGATGATAGCATATATCAATGGGACTGATGGAAGTAAAATTTGGCAAGTTGGAGGGCAAAACAATGACTTTTCGGATTCAAGTGGAGGAAATGCAACGAACTTTGGGTTTCAACATGACGCACGATTCGTCGACGATAATTTGACAGAAATTACGTTCTTTGATAACCACAACATGTATATGAATTCGCCCACGCCCAATTGCACGACAGATTGTTCTCGGGGTATGAAGATCAAGCTGGATTATCACGCCATGACGGTAAAGCTTGTACATGAATTTTATCATCCGAAAAGCGTACAAGCATGGGCTGAAGGTGGAATTCACGCCTTGGAGAATGGAAATTTTCTTGTCGGATATGGAGTTGTTCCTAGTTTTGCTGAATTCACGGATACAGGTGAAGTCGCCATGGAGGTTCAAACGAGGCCCTGGTACGTTTCTTCTGGACGAGGAACAGATTTGTATCGTGTGTATAAATTTGATTGGGTTGCACAACCCTCGTGGAAACCAGTCATGGTTGAAGTTGAACAGATTTTATACATCAGCTGGAATGGAGCTACTGAGGTTGATTCCTGGGCTTTAGTAAGTATCTGATGTCGATCGATATGGTTTCCACCTTTCAACACTAACATATTTTAAAAGCAAGGAGGAAGTTCCCCAACCACCATGCATCATCTTCTCACTATGCCCAAAATTGGATTCGAAACCGGTGTCCGACCATCTAATTCCTCGGCGTTCTATCAAGCCATTGCTCTAGACAAAGATGGAAACGAATTAGATTACACGGAAATTCTCGAGATGTATCGACTTTCTTCTCCTACACTCCTCCATATTTCAGAAAGTTACATGACAGCGATAAAAGTATTCCCTTTCATGTGGGCTGCCGTTATCATAATTTCAGTGGCTCTGGCGCGTTTGAGTCTATGGGTCAGGTTGAAGAAGAGATTCGGAGGAAAAGAGGATGAGGTGGAGGAGGGTATGTGCGAAGAAAGTAAATCGAAATTACTTCCGTAAGGTTTTCGAGCTTATGACGTTGGGGCTTTTTTATATTTTGCTACATTTTCTGCATTTGAAGAGCATCGAAATCATCCGAGGCGTGCTGGATTTTGTATTATTGGGACGGCACATTGATAGTGGTCGAAGTATATGTCTTCGTGGATACCCGGTTAGGTTAATTTGGATTGGATGGGGATAAATTTTAGTAACAGTGGACAAATATATGACCATTCTCTTCTTATCAGATGGATATTGATAGTACGTATACCCATACTGTTGCATCATCGGACAAATCCTGTAGACTCTCGTCTCACCTCCTATTCTTCCGAAAATACTTTCTATTTCATTCCGTCTCATCCCATTACTCACGATTAGAAATCCGAAGGGAAGAAATCAATCAGGTTTACTCACCTACACAAATTTCTATGCATCAGATAAGAACTTCCTAATACGCAGATCCGAAGTCATCTCCTTTCTTTCGAGCCGATGTGGCGTCTAATCTTTAATTGTGCATGTGTATAGATAATTAGACAGGCGCCGTTTGCTTGCAAGGTCAGGTGTCTCTCAACCGGGGTTGAAGTTTGCAATAACAAGAAGTAGATTCATATCACTCAATCAAGAATTTGTTCTTTTCTTATATCAAGGCTCTGTAAGCGAGGCTGGATAGGTCGGTGATGTAATGAAATTCGACGATATCATCTTAATACTTTGAAGCATTGGATTTCCGAAAACAGTTAACAGCAGAGGGGGAAAAGTTATAGCACTTCGGGATTTGAATCCTCAAGCCGAATAAGGAAGATGGTTTACATCCATTTATAGAAAATCTGAATCACAATCATGTGCTGAGCTTTCCAAATCGCCAAAACGGCCAAAATAGCTTTCGCGACCTTGGCAACCAATACCTTAGAATGCAGCAGCGTCGTCGTTAAAATCTGTCCCTTGCCGAGTTGTGTATAGGGTTAATATACACAAGTTCCTGATAATAGCTACCTCGGTATTGTGTATTAACGGTTTTTGGAGAAGACAGTCGACTAGGAAAGAATGGATACAATCTCTTTCGAAACACTTATCAATTCGAATACTGAATCAACCATGTATCCTATAAATAAAAATATAGAAGAATAATCAATCAAACTAATTAGTTGAAGCATTATGGAAAGAATTATTTCACTCGGTCTTGCCGAATATAGTGCTTATACATAACGTTTTGCAGATAACAAAAGCAGAAAACACAAATTCTCAAATGGCCTATTGTCAAAAAGAATCTTGGGTAGGATTAACCTAGAGTAGTAAAGGAGTTAATCTCGGGATTTGAGTAGTAGGAAATAAAAAGAAACCCCAGATTTGTTAAGCTGGAAAGAACATTTGATAAGAATAGAGAAGATAGAATATATAGAAACCTATACTATAATAGCTAATAAATACATATCTTATACAATATAACCTATTTGAATCTATATTTACAAACATAGTAAATATAGCCAGATCCAGAATCAAGTTTCGTAATAATAATAATAAGAAGATATAACTTCTGAGCTTAGTCTTTTTTATCTTTAAGTTATTTTCTAAAAGTCAAATTAGAAATTAAATATCGGATATATATAAATTAATA